CACCTGATTACATGTTGTCAATTTCTGGATACATGTTGTCAATTTCTGGATACATGTTGTCAATTTCTGGATACATGTTGTCATTTTCAGGTTACATGTTGTCAATTTCTGGATACATGTTGTCAATTTCTGGATACATGTTGTCATTTTCAGGTTACATGTTGACATTTTCAGGTTACATGTTGTCAATTTCTGGATACATGTTGTCATTTTATGGTTACATGTTGTCATTTTCAGGTTACATCTTGGCATTTTCAGGTTACATTTTGGCATTTTCTGGTTACATGTTGTCATTTTCTGGTTACATGTTGTCATTTTCTGGATACATGTTGTCATTTTCTGGATACATGTTGTCATTTTCTGGTTACAGGTTGTCATTTTCTGGTTACAGGTTGTCATTTTCTGGATACATGTTGTCATTTTCTGGTTACATGTTGTCATTTTCTGGATACAGGTTGTCATTTTCTGGTTACAGGTTGTCATTTTCTGGATACAGGTTGTCATTTTCTGGTTACATGTTGACATTTTCAGGTTACATGTTGTCAATTTCTGGATACATGTTGTCATTTTATGGTTACATGTTGTCATTTTCAGGTTACATCTTGGCATTTTCAGTTTACATGTTAGCATTTTCTGATTACATGTTGTCATTTTCTGGTTACATGTTGTCATTTTCTGGATACATGTTGTCATTTTCTGGTTACATGTTGTCATTTTCTGGATACATGTTGTCATTTTCAGGTTACATGTTGTCATTTTCTGGTTACATGTTGTCATTTTCTGGATACATGTTGTCATTTTCAGGTTACATGTTGTCATTTTCAGGTTACATCTTGGCATTTTCAGGTTACATTTTGGCATTTTCTGGTTACATGTTGTCATTTTCAGGTTACATTTTGGCATTTTCTGGTTACATGTTGTCATTTTCAGGTTACAGGTTGTCATTTTCTGGATACATGTTGTCATTTTCTGGATACATGTTGTCATTTTCTGGTTACATGTTGTCATTTTCTGGATACATGCTGTCATTTTCTGGATACAAGTTGGCATTTTCTGGATACATGTTGTCATTTTCTGGATACATGCTGTCATTTTCATACATTTGGCATTTTCTGATTACATGTTGTCATTTTCTGGTTACATCATTTTCTGGCATTTTCTGGATACATTACATTTTGGCATTTTCTGGATACATGTTGTCATTTTCTGGTTACAGGTTGTCATTTTCTGGTTACATGTTGTCATTTTCTGGATACATGTTGTCATTTTCTGGATACATGTTGTCATTTTCTGGTTACATGTTGTCATTTTCTGGATACATGTTGTCATTTTCTGGTTACATGTTGTCATTTTCTGGATACATGTTGTCATTTTCTGGTTACATGTTGTCATTTTCTGGTTACATGTTGTCAATGTCAGGTTACATGTTGCCAATGTCTGGTTACATGTTGGCATTTTCTGGTTACAGGTTGTCATTTTCACATCTTGGCATTTTCTGGTTACATGTTGTCATTTTCTGGTTACATGTTGTCATTTTCTGGTTACATGTTGTCATTTTCTGATTACATCTTGGCATTTTCTGGTTACAGGTTGCCAATGTCTGGTTACATGTTGTCATTTTCTGGTTACATGTTGTCATTTTCTGATTACATCTTGGCATTTTCTGGTTACAGGTTGCCAATGTCTGGTTACATGTTGTCATTTTCTGGTTACATGTTGTCATTTTCTGGTTACATGTTGTCATTTTCTCGATACATGTTGTCATTTTCTGGATACAAGTTGGCATTTTCTGATTACATCTTGGCATTTTCTGGTTACATGTTGTCATTTTCTGGTTACATGTTGTCATTTTCTGGATACAAGTTGGCATTTTCTGATTACATCTTGGCATTTTCTGGTTACATGTTGCCAATGTCAGGTTACATGTTGCCAATGTCTGGTTACATGTTGTCATTTTCTGGTTACAGGTTGCCAATGTCAGGTTACATGTTGCCAATGTCTGGTTACATGTTGTCATTTTCTGGTTACAGGTTGCCAATGTCTGGTTACATGTTGTCATTTTCAGGTTACATCTTGGCATTTTCTGATTACATCTTGGCATTTTCTGGTTACATGTTGCCAATGTCAGGTTACATGTTGCCAATGTCTGGTTACATGTTGTCATTTTCTGGTTACATGTTGCCAATGTCAGGTTACATGTTGCCAATGTCTGGTTACATGTTGTCATTTTCTGGTTACATGAATCCATATAAACAACACTATATTTCTGGTTACAGGTTGCGTCTGATGTTCAACTTAACCTTTATCAAAACTACTAACCACCTGATTACATGTTGTCAATTTCTGGATACATGTTGTCATTTTCTGGATACATGTTGTCATTTTCAGGTTACATGTTGTCAATTTCTGGTTACAGGTTGTCATTTTCTGGTTACATGTTGCCAATGTCTGGTTACATGTTGCCAATGTCAGGTTACATGTTGCCAATGTCTGGTTACATGTTGTCATTTTCTGGTTACATGTTGCCAATGTCTGGTTACATGTTGTCATTTTCTGGTTACATGTTGCCAATGTCTGGTTACATGTTGTCATTTTCTGGTTACATGTTGCCAATGTCTGGTTACATGTTGTCATTTTCTGGTTACATGTTGCCAATGTTGCCAATGTCTGGTTACATGTTGTCATTTTCTGGTTACATGTTGCCAATGTCTGGTTACATGTTGTCATTTTCTGGTTACATGTTGCCAATGTCTGGTTACATGTTGTCATTTTCTGGTTACATGTTGCCAATGTCTGGTTACATGTTGTCATTTTCTGGTTACATGTTGCCAATGTCTGGTTACATGTTGTCATTTTCTGGATACATGTTGTCATTTTCAGGTTACATCTTGGCATTTTCAGTTTACATGTTAGCATTTTCTGATTACATTTTGGCATTTTCTGGTTACATGTTGTCATTTTCTGGTTACATGTTGCCAATGTCTGGTTACATGTTGTCATTTTCTGGTTACATGAATCCATATAAACAACACTATATTTCTGGATCGTCTAGATGTTCAACTTAACCTTTATCAAAACTACTAACCACCTGATTACATGTTGTCAATTTCTGGATACATGTTGTCATTTTCAGGTTACATCTTGGCATTTTCAGGTTACATGTTAGCATTTTCTGATTACATTTTGGCATTTTCTGGTTACATGTTGCCAATGTCTGGTTACATGTTGTCATTTTCTGGTTACATGAATCCATATAAACAACACTATATTTCTGGATCGTCTAGATGTTCAACTTAACCTTTATCAAAACTACTAACCACCTGATTACATGTTGTCAATTTCTGGATACATGTTGTCATTTTCTGGATACATGTTGTCATTTTCTGGTTACAGGTTGTCATTTTCTGATTATGTGTAGGCATTTTCTGGTTACAGGTTGTCATTTTCTGATTATGTGTAGGCATTTTCTGGTTACATGTTGGCATTTTCTGGTTGAACTTTAGTTGTTTTGAGCAGTTTCAATGGATCCTGCATGTTCAGGAAATTGAACAGAAAGGTATTAATCACCAGTGTTTCTTCTGTACACTCATTTGAAACCCTATTATGAACTAGGGGTCAAAATTTGGAAATTCAAGTAAAGTTATAAAGTCTAAATTGATTGAAATAAATATAAAATAACAAAGATCATTGATCCAATATGATATCCGGTATGTGTATTCTGAATGAATGCCAATATTTAGATATACCAGGCAAATTCAGCAGATGGACTAAAAATAATACCCAGTTATTACCAAAGTTCGGTCAAAACATAAGCATACCTGAAGTTATTTTTCAATATGAATTTAGTAAACGAACGCAGGTACCAGTATATCAAAAACATTTTCAAAATTGGCTGTGCTGTGTGTAGAGGAAGGGGAAAGGGTCGGTTTAAAATCTTTATGTGTGTATCTGATACCTAAAATGTCTCTAAATAAAGAAACATATAAGAGCACCAGTAATTTCCTGCAATACAATTTTAATTTGCTGGTGTAAACTTCCTGTTTGTTTTTTACTGAACAAGTAGTGACACCTCAGCTCTCACAAATATATCACGCTATCATCATGTCATTAAGTTTCAGTTTACAAATAGGTTATATAACGGATAACATAATCAATAATGTATGTAAATGGAATTTTTTTTATATTAATGGTTTTACCATGTAAGTCTTCATGTACATATTCTGTCATCCTTTTAATGAATTCTAAACCAGATTTATTTATCTATCTAACAGGTTCTACATCCACTATTATGGCCATGCCGCTGGTCAGCAAACAAATCTGAGCCAGAGAGATGTTTTGGATTACAGGAATGATGAGACTTACAACATAGCAGTAAAATCCTTCACTATGACACTAACATTACTGGGATAAATCCATTTCAATCAGTTTATGTTAACCATACATTAAAAAATATCCCTTTACATGAAAGTATGGGGGGGGGATTCATTTTGAAGATAAGATGATATAGGATAGAAATTTGAATAAATATATATGTTTTGTGACATACAGAGCTTGAAACAAAAAAACAAATAATACAAAATTTCCTATCAATAACTGCATCTCAGGATAATTTTGACCACCTTTACTTGGATATTTCATACTACTGGGTATAACCAATGAATAATGTGTAATTCACCATAAATAAAACTGATTTAAAGCTTTTTTTACTTTGTTGAAAAATGAAATGGGCTAAATGACAGAACATCTCCTTCACTAATTCACAAAAAATGTCATCGATAGTTTATTGGCTTTAAGTCTATGCTTTAAGCATTACAGAATTATGTCCCTTGAAATTAATTTATAAGAAAAACTATAAGTGATGCCAGTCAAAAATAAACAATTTTGACATCAAATATATAAGAAGCACAACCAAATGTAAGCAATTTACATTGTAAATTTGCATTAAGCAATAAGACAGGAGAGAAAAACAAGAAATCTATTGTAATGAATTCATTGCTTTATTTTACATTTTCTTTTTTTTGTCAGGACAAATGTCCATGTGACAAGTATTCCTTCATTGGCAAAGAATCATGTCCTTGATTTCTTTGTGTTGTGATGATAGTGTTCCATTGGCCACACTGAATACCTGTAACTTTTAAATTCTGTTTCACAAAGAGTTCAACAGATTGAAGAAAGTCTCTGTTCATTGTATCACCATGACATAACTGTCCATACTTGTTCCATCCACAGGTTAACACAACTCCTACATCTGAAATTTATTACATAAATGTTGAAAATACATAAAAACTAATCTGATTCTCAATATAAGGAAAACAAAAATTGGTGCAATAATTTTCAGTGAGTATATTGTTTGTAAGAGATCAATGTGTGATGTTTTATATTGTAGTGTCTAATCATGTGACATGTATTAAAGCCAACTCATATATCTCTAGTAGTTTGTAGTGTCTAGTCATCAGACATGTGCTAAAGCCTTCTCACATCTCTGTTTGTGTGTAGTGTCTAGTCATGTGACATATGCTGAAGCCAGGTCACATCTCCATAAGTGTGTAGTTTCTAGTCACGTGACGTATGCTGAAGCCAGCTCACATCTCTATTAGTTTAAAGTGTCTAGTCATGTGACGTATGCTGAAGCCAGCTTAAATCTCTATTAGTTTAAAGTGTCTAGTCATGTGACGTATGCTGAAGCCAGCTCACATCTCTATTATTTTACAGTGTCTAGTCATGTGACATATGCTAAAGCCTTCTCACATCTCTATTTGTGTGTAGTGTCTAGTCATGTGATGTATGCTGAAGCCAGGTCACATCTTCAGTATTTTATAGTGTCTAGTCATGTGACGCATTCTGAAGCCAGGTCACATCTCCAGTATTTTATAGTGTCTAGTCATGTGACATATGCTGAAGCCAGCTAACAGCTCTATCAGTTTATAGTGTCTAGTCATGTGACATGTACTTAAGCCAAATCACATCACCAGTCAAAAATGAATGTGGAGTTGCTACACAGTATTACTTACCTAATTACTATCGTAGGTCTGATAAAAAAAACTTGGGTTGATCTATGTTTGATGTAAAGTAGGTCTGATAAAAAACCTGGGTTGATCTATGTTTGATGTAAAGTAGGTCTGATACAAAACTTGGGTTGATCTATGTTTGATGTAAAGTAGGTCTGATACAAAACTTGGGCTGATCTATGTTTGATGTAAAGTAGGTCTGATACAAAACTTGGGTTGATCTATGTTTGATGTAAAGTAGGTCTGATACAAAACTTGGGTTGATCTATGTTTGATGTAAAGTAGGTCTGATACAAAACTTGGGTTGATCTATGTTTGATGTAAAGTAGGTCTGATACAAAACTTGGGTTGATCTATGTTTGATGTAAAGTAGGTCTGATACAAAACTTGGGTTGATCTATGTTTGATGTAAAGTAGGTCTGATGAAAAAACCTGGGTTGATCTATGTTTGATGTAAAGTAGGTCTGATACAAAACTTGGGTTGATCTATGTTTGATGTAAAGTAGGTCTGATACAAAACTTGGGTTGATCTATGTTTGATGTAAAGTAGGTCTGATACAAAACTTGGGTTGATCTATGTTTGATGTAAAGTAGGTCTGATACAAAAACCTGGGTTGATTTATGTTTGATGTAAAGTAGGTCTGATACAAAACTTGGGTTGATTTATGTTTGATGTAAAGTAGGTCTGATACAAAACGTGGGTTGATCTATGTTTGATGTAAATTGATTTTAACATTATTGCTGAAGTATTATGACAGAGTGATTAAAGCTTACAAAGATATGAAAATAGAGAAATCATCAATATTAAGAAAAAAATACACAATTTTAGAATACTACCGTAATCGGACGTTAACAAACTGTAAGTTGTATGTGGATTCTTTTACCTGTTAGAAGTGCAGTATGTCGAGTTCCACAACTGATTACGCTGACTGTGATATCCTGGAGGTCTAGGCCACAAGGTTCATTCTGGACTTGAACATGGGACACATCACAATTCTGGATATACACATGACTTTCCATACTGGCTAGTGACTTTGGCTGGGAAGAAGGTGAACTAATGAAATCTGGTGTGATACTTGATGATGATGATGATGATGATGATGATGATGATGATGATGATGATGATGATGATGAAGCTTGATTATTGATAAGTTTGTTGTCTGTTCCTAATTTGTTGACAGCTTGGGTTTTCTTTTGTGGAACATCTACCTCGGAGTGATCTGGAGATTTGCTATGTGGAACATCTACCTCGGAGTGATCTGGAGATTTGCTATGTGGAACATCTACCTCGGAATGATCTGGAGATTTGCTATGTGGAACATCTACCTCGGAGTGATCTGGAGATTTGCTATGTGGAACATCTACCTCGGAGTGATCTGGAGATTTGCTATGTGGAACATCTACCTCGGAGTGATCTGGAGATTTGCTATGTGGAACATCTACCTCGGAATGATCTGGAGATTTGCTATGTGGAACATCTACCTCGGAGTGATCTGGAGATTTGCTATGTGGAACATCTACCTCGGAGTGATCTGGAGATTTGCTATGTGGAACATCTACCTCGGAATGATCTGGAGATTTGCTATGTGGAACATCTACCTCGGAATGATCTGGAGATTTGCTATGCCGGGATTTCCTATCACTGTCATTTTTACTACATGGCAATCCAAGTTGTCCACTCTCATTCCAACCCCATACCCAAACATCTCCAATATCTACAAGGAAATCATGAAAACAATCTATACTATCATAGTATTCATTGTTATGCTACAAGTACCAATATCTTAATTTTAACAGATCATATTTTTATCTCTTTGATGTACAAATACTGGATAATATCGAAAAAATGACAACTTGATCGAGATTGTTAAAACTTAATATCAATTAATCATGCATTGAGAGGAGACTAGATGTTGTAATAACAATGACTTAGTTCATAGCTGTGAATTGATTTGTTCAAATAAAAGTCACATTGATATATGTGCCATATTTTTTAGGTAAAATAATAATGAATGAAAATTGTTTTGATAATTAAATTTTTATTATTGCTTGACAATGATTATGATTTTCGAAATTCTAGATTGATTTAAAATTACATTATTTTATTTAAAACTCTGAAATATTTGATAATTGCCACCTTTCCGGAGCTGTACAATATAACCTGGTATTAATCTAGTGCCTGATCCAGATGAAGGGGAAACAAAGAATGCTTAATAGGAAAGGGAACAGGTAAAACATTGGTAAAGAATTTATCACAATTAAATTAAATTTTCCTGCCATTTTTATATAAATAATGGATAAGTTTCATTACCCAGTATCCAATCATCTTGGAATAAATAGACATGTGACTTTGTTAGTCCAAATGTAAATTAAGCTTTAAACATGTTCAACAAACATTTCAAAAATACAAACTAAAAATTAAGTTTGTTTCCAATGTGACTTTGTTAGTCCAAATGTAAATTAAGCCTTAAACATGTTCAACAAACATTTCAAAAATACAAACTAAAAATTAAGTTTGTTTCCAATGACACAATTACCCCGCAGTATAATAATGATCTTCCACTGTTTTACGTTGTACTTTGGGATAAAGTCTTCAAATAAAGTGAAGTACAAACATAAGAATCACTTATAGAATAGAAGTTTTTATATCACAACTAGTAGAAGATTAGAGTGTGACGTTTTGGTGACTACATGGTCACATTCATCAGACAAATGACCAGTGTTGAAAAGGACAAAACGAAATATCACACTCAAATCTTCTACTGGTAATGTTATAAGAATTTCTATTCTGTTGACGTTATGAACCTTAAGAAAATGTTCCAAAATATAAAAATAAGTTTTAAGGTGGCCTATAATTAAGTACATTACACAGTAAAGATAGTTACCTGACAATGCCACAGAATGCCATCCGCCAGATGCCACTGAGCAAAAGCCCACACCTGCGAGTGCCTCCACAAGCTGTGGCTCTTTCTGGTCCACAACATTTCCATGGCCTAATTGACCACGACTGAAAGATTATCAAACAACATGATTTTAATTATAACAAACGTATACCTAAATCAACTGATCAGACATGTTCGTACATTTAGTGTTGAATCCTATGATTCTGCACTTCAAGAAATCCTGCATTTCATCTCATTTTTTATTTTTTGTTATTTGTCAAATGTTCTGAGCCAGCATCAAAATAATTTCATTACATTAAAATAAGAACAAATACGTCAGACTAATGGATAGCTAACTTTTTATCTTCCCTACTTCTGTTGTTCATACCTGCCTCCTCCATAGGAGTAAATCTGCCTGTTCTGGCCTAATAAAAGCACATGTTCCTTTCCACAGCTAACAGCCACTATAGGCTCGGCACATAAAACAGGTGTTGAAGTGGAAATAATCCAGTCCGTGGTATCAAGATTTGTAAGGGTGCAACAGCTTAGTTTTCCAGTCTCTGTAAGATATGTAAATTTACATACAAAGCAGTTTGAAAATATCACAATATATTGCTGGTATCATATTAACTATTCCAACAAATATTCACAAAATTTATTTTATGTCTAGAAACGCAATGCATGGACCAAATTACTGTATAATATTTTACTTTTTAGAGAAATCAACAGTGTGATCATACTACAATAAAGTCTTATTTTGATCAAATATAAAATTAGGGTCTTTTGTATCATTCTGATAAATAACATATATATATATCTAACCAAGTGGGGGAAAAGGAGCACCAAAAAAAAATACATGTAAGGATTTTAAATTAGACTCTAGTTGATACAGAGTCTAGAATATCTACAATCTTTTCTTCAATTAAGCTTTTGAGTATCCTGGTATAATAAAGTGTTTATGACTCAGCTACATTATAGGTATTTCCCTGAGTCCTGAAAATATGCACAACTACGATTGCCTGTTACATTAAGTTTCAGAACATAAACAGAAGAATGTTAAATGTTTTTTATTTTTTGCATCACACTACCTCTGCACCTTTCATATGTTAAGTGGTTGACCACATGTGTATCAAACAACTGTAGCATGCATTTGGCACTGTTGAACAACACAATCATAAGTTGTCGTTGCTAAAACCATTGAAATAAACAATATATTTAGCAGGAACACTATCCAACCACAAAGGTGGGCAGAAGGAAAGAATAATAAGGAAATAAATCAGATGTTAACACAATATGTATGTGCTGTTGCATGTATTTTCTTTCCAATATTTCTAGCCCTTGTTATCCAACCCTCTAGTAATGAAAGTATGAAAACCTTGATTGCAGTGTACTCCACCAGTTTTCTACAGTTCAAGGTATCATTGAATTTATATCAATTGGCTCAAAGTAATACATAAACATGAATTGTCACCTACCTTCAAGAAACAGTAATTCCTTGTCTGTGCCATGGATGCTCTTAGTACCTGTGGTACCATGTGGTTGTTGGTTGACAAAGTCCAAAGATCTGTTGTTTAAGTCACTATTAGTGATGACCTCCGTATCACTACAGTTCACACCCCTCATGCCACAAGATGTCAATATTTTGATACAGCCATTATCAAACATAGCCACAATTTGGTCGTTGAAACATGTTAAACTCTTACATAACTGCTTTGAATTTTCACTTTGTTTACCCTCTCCATTACTACCTTTCTCAGTCTCATCCTTTTCCAATGATGGAGAAGTGAAAATGTTGCCATGATCTGCAATAAAATGATATTGATATAGTGATTAAGATGGACATAATATATACAATGGCATAATGGATTCAATAAAGATATGGAGAGATCAAACTTCATTGCCAGTTTTCCCTTCCAACCCCTTTTCTAATTTCTTTACTCTGTTGAATGTTCATATAAGATAACAAACAGAATCATACGTTCAACTGACATCACTATATGATGTTGTTGCCATTTCATGAAAAGTGTACATGAAATAATATTCAACATTTATGAAACAATAAAGGCCTTAATAGTTTTATGTTTTGTCTAACCTCTGGTGAGATAACTACACAGTGGCCCAATTATGGGCCTGAATTGCTAGATACATGTACCTCTTGTATTCTTTAAAAAGAGGCTTTCCGTCAATGAAGTAAATTTCTGCAAACATGGAAATCAATTTAGATGGCATGCACAAGAACCCTGGGCCAAGGGTCTAATATCAATGCAAAATAAGAATTTTTAACTACACATTTGAAACTTATTACCTTGAAAGTTGGTCAAGATAATTCATTAGAATAAAAGATCATCTCGAACTTAATTCTCAAGAAATAGCAATAACAATATTTTGTTGTCAAACTCCAAGCTGGCAACCTATTTACCATTTTGTCTATCTGATATCTCCCAAAATTTAAAGGCAACCACAGGTGACCAAACATAAATCAGAAATCTGAAAAAGATCCACCTACAAAGAAATTGGTATAACAAACTTTCATAATTACTTAAACTGCAGGCGAATACTGTTGTTCGCTTACACTATCGTTTGGTCTTTGTAAGTTTTATCTTTTCGCTTCGTTTCTACATTTCCCCTGTTCTTGCTCTTAATTGTATGAACATGGATAATTCCTCTTCAGAAAAAGCAATAATGATTATCAAATCCAAGATGGCGATCTGTCAGCCATTTTGTTGATCTGATCTATTAAAAATTGAAAGCCAGCATATCTAGGGAGCAAGAGGAAGAATAGAATATATTGCAAATTTTAGAAAAATCAATCCAGTACTCAAAATATAGCGTTTACAAACTTTCAGTGTCAACAATTTAGTTTTTGAAACTAATAAAAAGAATAGACAATGCACAACTCACGACCAAGAGGAACCTACTAATGAAATTTAAGAATGGTCAATCCAGCATTGTCAAAAAACAAGCTAGCCACTCTTGGCCATTTTATTTTCCAGATCTTTCCCTAATGTCCAAGATTATAGCAGACTTCTTGCAATAAAATGGGACTTGCGCAAGTCTAAAGTTGGTTTTGTTATTACCATAGATGAATGCGAGTTGTGACCACGAACCAACGATCTGTGATATTCGACTTCTAGATTTTATACGTGTAGGGATTGATATTACACTTTCATGTCGCTGTTGTCGTAAAATTTGTTCGAAACCATTGAAACCTGCACTCCAAACATCCATAGCACAGAAAACCGGATATTTTCTATTCGTCTTTACTGATTAGTTTGATCAAAGGACTAGGAACGCACTTTTTGAATTTTTATTATTTTTCAAAAAATGGTTTCAATAAAATATGTCGTTGAATATTTAAATGAATTTAGAACTAATGCTTACACTGATCAGTATATTAAACTAAAAATTTTCCAAATTAAAATTTTACAACCAATCAACTGGGAGTACAGCCATTTGACCATACCGTTCCAAGATGGTGCTTGAAAGTACGATTGTCTGGTAAGCAAGATTAAAATTGTCACGTTGTGTAGAATAACATTAACGAAACTGAGTATTTAAACGATGATTTTGACGTTTGTTGAAGAATGTCTTCTTTTTAACGCAGTTTGCCAAAGTGTTTATACGGCATCCCCATACAGTTATGTTTTTTGTCTAAATGACGAAGCGAAATCGAATGGTCCTAAAAATACGTTAAATTTCTTCTTCTTACCATTGTCTGATATTTTCATTTAAGTCAATTTAGATTCAATTGATGTTATTGTTAAAAATGGACGCCCGTTGTTTAATATTAAGGTTTGGCCTTATTCAGGATTAGTAAGTCAGACTAGACCACTCGGCCCACAGGTACCAGCCTCGACAAGATCTGTCAATATAGCTCTACCCCAGACATTGCCTCACATACATTTTTTGAGATGTTAAACCGTATCTAACTAAGTCGGAATTTGAAACTCCGAAGGTTCGATTTCTGTCGGGGCTTTTGGGAGGAAATAATGGTTTTTTTTCAAGCTGTGTTGCAAGTCCAAAATGGATAAGCCTTACATAGAAACACTTGGCATAAATATACAATGTAGCCCTTAACCAGTACAGTCTAATCACTGACAGATCTTATTTATAGCCTATGGACAAGTGATTGAGTGTTTAAGATTCTGATTAGCATAGGATCATGATTATCATGTTAAACTGTACAACTGATAATTTTTTCAGTGTTGACAACAGTGACTATATGAGAAATGGAGATTTTGTTCCCACAAGACTACAAGCCCAGCAAGATGCAGTAAACCTTGTCTGCCATTCTAAGACACGAGCAAACCCAGAGAACAATGTTGGCCTCCTGACCATGTCAAGGTATAAGTTTGAAGCCGCATATGTTTGCTAGATTTGCTGACACTACATGCGATTGTTATAAAAAAACAAACTGTAGTTATTATCATTTAAGTCAGATATTTATATATCTCTCTTTTAATCTAAAGACATTTTGTTGCCCAACTAGTAAATGAATACAAAGTCAAGATCATGAGTAGCTAATATCATTATAACTTTGAATGTGCATGTTCTATAGACATGCTTGGAACAATTTTCTAAATTTAAAAAATAAGATTTCTTGATATCCATTATACTGCATTTTCCATACTCCAGGGGTTACAATCACTTTCGCTCTGTGCATCCATTGAACATGTCACAGCAAAATTGAAGGTTCCATCTGCAACACCTTGTTGACAAAACAAAAAGACATGTTTGATTCTTTGATGTGCATCAAATGAATCTTTAGGATGCATAATGATATATTTTAATAGCTTTGAAGTTAGGTGTCTCTCTTTTGTAATTTTTAAACAGAACATATCAGCCTGAGACTGGTCAGCTTATTTCTCCTGGAACCAATCCAATTACTTTGCTTGTGCCTTCAGTTTTGCCATGATTTGTTCCAGGGGCACAGAGAGTGAAAGTGATTGTAACCCATGGAGTATGAAGGATGAGTTCACTGAGAACTATCTCTCTTTGGATATAGTCACTAAGACTAAGCCAAATATCATCCTACTAATATATCCCAGAGATTGTCTTTGACATATCAGCCCTTTATACTGCCAACAATTCTGAGAATCTGATACTGAAACAACAATTTTATTTTCACACTCTGCCTGTTCATATCACCAGGCAAGTTTTTCATTTCTAAGATATATCTCATCACGATAGATCAGAAAGTAAATCTAAAGCTGACCATAGAATATTTCAGTATCTCTGAGAAGATGCCCACATAGAGATACTTTAAAGAATTACTAAGCAATTTTGTATGAAACTGATTCAATCTACATTTTGTAATTACTTCATCAATTGAACTTTCAATAAAAATCAATATTTAATACTTGAATGGCTCTTTGTTGGGAGTTAAAAAGATTACAAATGTAACAAAGATGGACAATTTCATCAGTTTCACTGGACAACATGTAAGATTAATTTCTTTCGAGTGTTGCTGGTTTAAGATTTTCCAGTATGTGAGTACATATATTTGGGAGTGTTTTCTTTAAGGTCCTTATGTCAATAGAATAGAAGTTCTTAAAACACAACTAATAAATGTATCTTCTACTGCTTCTTTTATAAGAGCTGCTATTTTGGTGTGTACATTTAGTTTGATTTTCTTTCAGTGTTGAGGTTTTGGCTACACTTACAACTGATGTTGGTCGAATTCTTAGCAAACTCCATCAAGTCCAGCCCAAAGGAGATATCAAGTTTGGAACAGCTCTCAAAGTGGCTCATGTAATTTCCTACTTTAATGTGTTTTCATTCAAAATAGTAAACTTGAATTGTGAGATGTAGTGTGATTAGAAATCAGTAAAAGCGTCAAAATAGAGCACAAATCATTTTATGTTTTATGTTTGATATCTTACTTTAATGGAAATGCATTGATTTGCTACTCTGATGTACAGTACCAAAGCTACATGTATCGGTTACCAATTAACCAAGATTACTGTCACCATATTTGACTATAGTTCAAAGGTTGGTGGTTAGAATGCATGTTTTAGTTGTGTACCTGTATGTTAAAATTTGAAAAGTGTCTCAGTATTTTATCTTTCTGTATTTCATGATTATAGTGGTAACATGGTGAGATATTGAAATTTGATTTACAGCTGTCACTCAAGCACAGACAAGGACGAAACCACAAGATGAGGATAGTGTTGTTTGTAGGCAGTCCAATTTTGGAAGATGAGAAAGAAGTGAGTATAATATTGTGTACAGTAATTAATAACATACATAATGTTTACAGTTATTAATTACAAAATGTTTACAGTAATTAATTACAAAAAATGTACAGTTATTAATTACATAATGATTTTCTGTCTTCAGAGTAACGTTAAGTTCTATTTCAATTTTAAATTGTATTCTTTATACTGTTAACTCCTTGGATAATCACATGCACACAGCATTGAAAGTTCTCAAATTAAAGTTTATCCTAGATGGAAAGTTTATCCTAGATGGAATAATGTAATCTTCAATTTTCCATTGATATTTCTTCAAATGACTCAAATACTATGCTTTGAAATAATTCTATATTTGCTGAATATGAATAGATTACTGCAGTCTGTTTTGACCTACATACTTGATGGAAGAAATTTTGCACACCTCAGATCTTACATTTGTTGTCTAAAAATATCAGATCATTCTAACGTTCTTTTATGATTTGAGCCCAGACCCTAGTCAAGAAAAAAAATACTGAATCAGACTTGGTATATATTTGAATTTTTGAATCAACATTTACATGTAGAACATTTTTGCATTTATGGAAGATGGCTTGCTAAATTCTAAGTCTAGATCAATATTTCACTTGAACCTATGATTGTAACCATGATAGAAATATGTTGATATTTTTTTTCTTCGACTCTGCTTGATGTACAGTAAAACTCTGTGTAATGTGCTCAGGTACTTTTTGTGGCTGAAACTGGTAAAAAATGCTTCTACTTGCTTAATGTGCACACCCAAAAATTCTGTCAAAATTAATCACTGGGAGCCAAGAAATTGATTGCATTATAATAAGGTATATCTACTTTGAAGTATTTTTGATATTTGTTGTTTATGCACAGTTAGTGAAAATGGCCAAAAAACTCAAAAAAGAAAAAGTAAATATGGACGTCATCAACTTTGGTGAAGAGGTAATTATGACCAAATATAAAAATGTATTTGAAAATAGATCATGTATCATATTGTAGTTTGCACATAAATTGATATAAATATGGCCTCTAAATATCCGATCACACAGATGTTATCAAATTTTACGTTGTACAATTGAAGTATATATATATAAACTATACCAGAATGATACTGTATACCAACTACACAATTATATAAATGATAATTTTTTTAAATGAATCTAAGTATGTGTAAAAAGCAACTTTTGTCTGATGTCTCTTATGATTTCTTTGAAGGGTTTAAACACAGAAAAACTGACTGCCATGATAAATGCTCTGAATGGAAAGGATGGCACTGGGTATGTAGTTAAGTTGTCAAAGGGATTTGGCACCAGGTACCAACATTTTAATATCCAACCTTAACTTGGATTCTCAACATATTTGCCCCAACTTGAAATGTATCTCAGTAGAGTAGGACTAAAACTGAGGAGAGCTTATAAAATCAACCCATTGTAACAATATCATCGTTATTATTATTTTATTATTCATTTCATTGCATCAAGCAACCATTCTGTAAAATTTAGAATGAGGTAATAAACACCTGTGTTGGGTCACAAGTTCGTGATAAAATTATGTTCGGCAAGTTAACCATCATGCTTACACATTTACTTGCTCATGCGAGACAAGAAATAATCTTATTTAGGGCAGCTTCTTGTATTATCCATACAATATTAGTAAAGTTTTCAAGTCTCACCATGATGTAAGAAAACAAAATCATAAGAATGCATGCGAACATATTACAATTAGATAAAGTGTAATCAGTGAGATATGTGATTTTAAAATAATATCTTACTGTTGACACTGATGGAAGACAATGTTTCCTAGTTTCCTATCTTAATGGGTATCCAGATTCACAATTTCGTTCTGAATAAACAAATGATGCATATATGGTATCTTGAAAATTTCAGAGTTGAAGTTATCTGACACTTGCTAAAAATTTAATGTCAGTTTAATTTTAAACACTTCATTGCATCATGGAAGTAGTAAGGGCTATTCCTGGACCAGTAAAATATCTTCCAGCTTTTGTCTTGGAATACCTCCCGTATAATTTCATTTTTAATTTGCAAAGAAGAAATGGGTAAGAACATTACCAGAAACCCTGACTTGAATTGAAGTGATTCATTCTGGAGGTCCTGGGGGTCAGGAAGATTTTGTGCTGGAATAGCCTTATACAAATATGTAAACTAAGAGGATTATTTTACCAGTAAACAGTTAAAAATAACATGACTGATTGTTGCTGTTCTTTTAAGGATTCTGAAAAGTGTTCTTTACTATTATAACATTTTAACATGCAAAATCTTATCAGAAATTTATCACTCAGTAACTATTCAATATGTATGTGATTATCCTCATGGAATAAAAGAAAAACAAGTGTAATATATATACATTAATAGATCATTGCTGTTATAACCTCTATAACCATACCTTCAGTCGTTTCACATTCATGTTTATTGTTTTACTCAGATCCCACCTAGTGACCATTCCGCCTGGCCCCATGTTATCTGAGGCTTTGATGAACTCACCTATAGTTGTGGGTGAGGACGGATCAGGTGCAGCCATGCAAGCAGTTGGATTTGAGTTTGGTGTTGATCCTAATGAAGATCCAGAATTAGCACTTGTAAGTATAGGAATTAACCAATACAATGTATACTAGATTATTTGATATAGAGTCTGATGTATTTAATCATAACATTGGGTTTGTTAAATACCATTTGAATGGAATATTTCATTTATACCTCTACTATAAGATATGCATTATGACATTTTGTAATTTTCGTAAACTCTTCCATAAATCATGGTTTATCTGATATGTAATTTATTACACAAGTATTGAGGTTTTGAGTTATGATCTATTCATGGGATGGTTGAAAGGATCAGTTTGGTATGTTTTGAAAAGTGTGGACATATTAACAAGAAAGCGAGTAATCACAAAAAAATTGGTTTATGGTCCTTATGTACTGTTCCTGATATAGTTATTGCTGATAGTTTTTTAAGAGCACTGTTTATTTCATCTGAAAATTATATCATTGCAGAATATGAAGGCTTTATACATTCATGTTGGTACTTTTCATATTGAAACTTTTATTTATTTAGGCACTAAGAGTGTCCATGGAAGAGCAAAGAGCACGACAGGAAGACGAGGCCAAGAAAACAGTACCAGCACCAGAGGAAGGACAAGTGCAGAGCATGGAAACAACTACAGGAGGTACTGATCAGAATATGTTTGGTTATGGTAGAGAAACTATTTGATTTTAAACTCCCTGTGGTATTTTCCTGTCATTTCATCTCACTGTTGATTATATTGCTATCAACCAGGCCTCGGGAGATTTTATTAAATATTTCCCATCATTGCTCCCAAACAGGGATTTATCGTTCAAAATTTAAGCTTAAAGACTTAGAATAGATGAGTAAGTATAGGATGTTAAGTGAGTTGACATTTCATATGAAGTTTTATGAAACAAGTCACAGAATTGTTTATCTTTCCAATAAAATCAAATATGACATGAAGACAACTTTAAAATTATATGTATCACATAACTCAGAAAAGTTACAATTTGCAGGTTTTAAAATAAAAATCTTGAGGACAAAATTAAACATAGGTAGCTGTTTTGTTGCACCATGTTCAATTCACGACCTTCTTCATTGTGTATTTCATGTTATCACATTAAATTTCTGACTGGCTGACTGACAAACACTCTTTGGGTATAAATACTATTGACATTTCCACAAAGTATAATAAGCAAATGCACTGGATTACAGCCCAATTATGTGATAAAGTACATTGGATTTCTTTGTTACCGTCACTTCAGGGAACTCGGATGAGGCGATGCTGGAGCAAGCCCTAGCAATGTCCATGCAACCAGATGCCATGGAGCAACAGGCCACTACACCCAGTGTACCAGATTTTGGCTCCATGTCAGAGGAAGAGCAAATAGCTTACGCTATGCAGATGTCATTAGCAAACTCTGGTTGGTTTTTCTTCCTAGCAATGGGGTTACATTATACTAGGTGTCTATGATTGGTTGTGGGCATGTGAGCAAAATTGTCAACCATTATGATATTGATTTTGAGTTTAGGATCTTGATCCATTAAATATGGTTATGATATCTCTTTACTTAAAAAAGACTTTTACTTTTTGCTCTATTGATATGTGAAATATGATAATTGAAATTAATCTTGTTAGCTTATTGTCAGATTGATAATTAAAGCAAGATAATGGACAATTTAACAATAATTTATGAAATCAAAGCTTTGAAATATTTTGGTATTATGCAAACTTCAATACTTTATCTATAATTGATGGCAAAAATGATTATCAAGAGCAAAGATATGTTTAGACATTCAAAATCAAGAGAGTGGGGCTGTATTCTGTCACCTCTTCAAATGCGACATTGATTCTTCTAATGATTTCTTGTCAAGGCCATAAATTCAAAACAGTTGAGATAACAGCTAGATTTAAAATTTTTATTCTTGTACACACAACCTACTTCAAAGCAGAAAATATACATTTGCTAATAAGGAGAGATACAGGTTGTACACACAACATGCTTCAAAGCAGAAAATATACATTTGCTAAAGATCAGAGACACATGTACTACACAACTACTGTCATGAAGAAAGTTTTCTTTGTAGCAATTTAATTTGCAATTAAACTTATTGAAAAATATCATTAAAACCTACATTTAAAACAGTTGTCTGGTAATTGTGGACCATCTCTGCACTATGAAGAGAATTGATAATCTAATAGGCCAAATGACAAAACAATTAACATAACAAATCTGTTTTTTAAACAACTTTGCTTTATATTTTTTTTGTTTGAAATATCTATTACTGTATTTTTGGAGTAAGGTTGAATATCTCTGATTTATGACTTATCTAGCTGCCAACACCACTCAGAACACTCCAGCACCTATGGATGTAGATGATGAGGCCAAAGCTGGGACAGCAGAACCAGAGGAGAAAAAATCTGTAAGTTATCAGACATAATTTGTGTCTAAAGTGTCAGATGAATCTCACGAAATGAAATGAGATTCCCTTTAGATGGATTATTTAAGAAGACTTACCAGTTAAATAAGAAATATTTTTACAATCTGCCAGTATGCTTTGTTTTTGTGAATTGAAATTTGTTAATGTTCAAGCACAAGAAATTGTCTTTGATTTCAACAAACATTGTGTCTATAATGTAAATATGATGATGACAATGATTGAATAATTTACTTCAATGATAAAGACTTCTTCAATTTGTAAGAGTTATTCCCCCTAGATACCTATCACAAAGACTACATCAGTGGCGATATTTCTTTTTAACTAAATGTGTATGTCTTGTTTTCCAGAGTGATGAAGATTACTCCGAAGTGATGAATGATCCAGAATTTTTACAAAATGTACTAGAGAATTTACCAGGTGTGGATCCCCATAGTGAAACTATACAAAACGCTATGAGTTCTATAATGCAAAAAGATTCTGGTAAAAAAGAAGACGGAAAAAAGGATAAAGACAAGGAGAGTAAATAGAAAGCCCTGAGATGTTATTGAAATGTAACTGTGAATGAAAGGACTCATGTTGGAGTGCTGCCCATATAAATCTCAGTCAATAGGACAAAACTAAAGGATGTGCTTAAATGTCAACAAGTTGAAAATGAACAATTTTGATATCAAAATTAACTCTTTAATACTTACTTTGGAAATCACATTTTTCTTGTGTTTCTGTTGTATTTTGAAGTTTATGAAGTGAAATGTGTATTGGTGCATTACCATAGAGAAATATATCGGAGAACTGATATGTGATTGGTGGAAAAAGTTGTGTACAGAAAAGTGGACTTGGGTTGACTGATATGAATGATATTGAGTGTGGATGTATAGGTGTCTAATAAAGTATTATGAAATTGTTTTTTTTTCTCCCTTTGTATCCAAATGACAATGATATTACAGTATACTACTTGGTATATGTACTTGTCAAAGTTTTCCCGACCCGTCTCTTGTGTGTAACATGCGCTTGCTAAAAACAAGAGGCATATATATACTGCTCAGCACAAGAAGCGAACCTACTCCCTCATGGCCCTGGTTCTGGTCTAGTTAAATGATTGATAGGTCACACACTTAAACAGGTCACCAAAGGTCACAGGTCACACAGCATATGTATGGTCCATGTACAAATGTTTGTTTATTACAGTTTTGGGAATGCACAATGTATACAAGATATGCGCATGATAGGAAAACTGGACGAAATGGGTTATCCACATTTGTGATTCTATCGAGGTTAATATAATTTTAGAAATAATTTACAGATAAATGCAGTATAGGTTTTTTTTATTTTCTAAATGTCTGAGAGTACAAAAAATCACCTGTAGATCCATCAGATACAGACTAAATAAATATGAAGCCAACACGGATTGCTTGATTGATTTACATGTTTTCTGTCTCTGTGACTCCATCGGTACCCGGGTATCTCCTCGCTGACGAACAGGATCTGGACCTGTCGCATATATACTCATAAAAAGTGGTTTTTGTTGAAAATGACTTATATTCGATTGTAATATTCCTCAGTTCGTTATTAAGTCATAATTAAATGAGTTTTTCCTTTAATATTAGCCAGCCAATTTAACCAAAACCGCACAGTTAGTACGATACTCTCTAGTGCGTGTGTACGCCTGAAGTTCATGGTGCATTTTGCGTTACCACAACTGTACATGCACACATAATGTTTGTACACTACATATACGCAGTGTTTTGTGTAATGATTGTTAACCATCTACCCGCCATTCTCCATTACACACCACGATTCTTGTCATATATGTGATGTATTAAGTTCCACAATTATAACTTGAAGAATTTAAAGTTCGTTCGCTTGATAAAAAAAACTTTTACTCTCTGTTTTCGTTACTCATCAGTAGTCAACGGATGTTTTAAAGGCTTAATATATATACGTAGCGCAGATAAAGTTAGAGTACAAAGAATGACCTGTAGATCCATCATACAGACTAAATAAATATGAAGCCAACACGGATTGCTTGATTGACCAAACCTAGCTATCTGACTGGTGGAATTATTCAAACGAGTCACCAGACATCCCTATTGGCATGTTGATGCTTGTAAAATTGGTTGTGTTGCGAAAAAAAATAATTTTCCTCGACCGCAGATGTTACACCTGTGAATGCGTATCGCATTTAGAGAGCAGCGTCATTTTGTTGGGAATATAATAAATTATAAGAAATAAGTCATCCCATTATCGATGTATGATTTTTCTCTGAGATTGTGTTTAACCACAGACTTAGATCTATATCAAACTCATACACACACACGTGTCTCTGGCTTTGTATTCCTGGTCATACAACTTGTGCACAAACCATGTAATTAATATCTCTGTGAGTGATTTTTTTTCTATCAAAACCCTCTGTCACATCGTCCGCACGCCAGCTGACACAAACTGAAATATATTGCAAGCGATCGGGACGCGGAACACGGAATGTAGGAAAGTGTTTTATGTCAAATAGTAACGATCTTTTACTTCATATTTAATAGGATAAGTAGCTATATAATGGTAAGATTCACAGATATGCTTCGTAAACCCCAATGAGGTCGATTTTGATAAATAATAGATCCGTAGTCATAACACCTAATTCAGACTCCGCATACTAATATGTTACCGTTAACATCCAAACGGGGTCTTCCCTGAACACCAACTCTGCCTATAACAACATGATTACATAGGTTATAGGCAGTTGTAATGATAGCGAGTGATAGTCTGGTGCAGAATTGTTGTACAGGTACCTTGTACAGGTAAATAAGGTAATCAGGTTCTGATAACTGTCTAAAAACTGTTAATAACTTTAAAATAAAGGAATCAAATATATTTGTTAAAACTGTTCCGATCCCAAGCTGTTCAGTGGGAAATGTATAAAAGCCCAGTACATTTTGGAAAATTATCATATTTCAATCTGCACTTTGAAGTATCAATTTCTCATTGCTTGATTTATTACTTAACTTTTGTCACACATATATTAGTTACTCTTGTCCTTTTTCAGTTTAGTGTAAATTATCATAACTTTTGTTATATATACTAGTTAATCTTGTACTTGTTTCAGCTTTGTGTAAGGTGTGTTTAATTTGAGTGATATTATTATCTGTGTGGTTTGATAACAAGTACAGGATGACTAACGCTCATATCAACGTTAAGTTTATCACCAACAGAAGAGGCGGACAGAACCTTTCGCATAATGGATTCATCTAGACAGATTCGAAGGAACGGCAACAGGACATTCTGGAGGTGTTCGACCTCAGGCTGTTCAGCATCCCTCTAGACAGTAGACAACATACTAGCTTACGTTGGAAGAAATCCACACAACCACGCCTCAGACCCAGCCAGTGTTGTAGCCAAGCATATCATGAACCAGATCACCAACAAATGCGTAGGCTCTGTCCAACCCATTCCGTCCATCTTTGAGGAGGAGCTCAACCAACTCCGAGACAACGACTGGAATGTCACTTCCAAGGCCGTGGTCCACTATCAAAGGCTTTGGCCGACATCACCTTGGATGGAAGATGGACAGAAACATCTACAGGCGAGCCATTTCTCCTCTTTGATGACAGTGAACAGAACAACAGGATGATCGCATTCGCTACATCAGAGAACCTGGCCGAACTTGCAGCATCTGACACATTCTTCTGTGATGGCACATTCTACACCTGTCCAACTTCACCAGATTTACAGCATCCATGTACAAATTGAAGGCATTATGACCCCAGTTGTATATGCACTACTTCCTGGAAAGAGCCAGGTTATCTACAACCGTCTCTTCACGCTACTACAGGATCTAATGACACACTTCCAGATTCTATTCCGACTCAATACAGCCTTCGTCGATTTTGAGGTAGCCACACACAATGCCATCCTAGGTGTATTTCAAGGTATCACCATTAAAGGATGTTTTTTACACCAGTGCATTTGGCGAAATGCCCAGTCAACCGGACTCCAGACACTGTACAATGACAACGATGGCGTCAAACTACTTGTACGCCGAGCTGCTGTTCTGCCACTCATCCCCTTAAATCGTATTGAGGACGTCTGGTTACAAACATTTGAGGAAGCTGATGATGCTGACATCCCACATCTCGTGTTGTCATTCACAGATTACGTCACAGAGTGATGGATAGAGGGAGATAAAACAATCTGGAACCACTTCTCAACACATGGACAACGGACTATCAACCATCTTGAAGCTTGGCAGACTGAAGAAGGTACTGCATGCCCACCCTTACATCTACACCATCATACAGTCGCTTAAAGACATACAGAACATGAATGACATCAGCCGGATTAAGAGAGATGCAGTAGGCACCATACAACCATGGAAGAAGAAATACGCCAACATTGACAGACGCCTGGCCACCTTGAAGGACCGTTATCAGACTGGGACGATCGACCTGATGACCTATGCTGATTCAGCATCCTAGCTTCCCCATCTTGGATAGAGTGCTTTTTGTTTTCTAGTAGAGACTTATCAAGTACTTGACTACCAAAGGTTGCAAAAGGACATAATAACTAGATAAAGTGGATAATGTATTGTCATAGATAAACGAGTCACTGCTAATTCAGCTTTATTAAGGGGTTTACTGTATATTTTAAATAATAGTCTATTTTAGTGCTAAAGTGTGCATATTGATTCACTATGACATGCATAGATATAAATTCAATTTAATTGCTGACATCAGTATATCAATGTAACTTAATGGATTTTATTTATTAATTAAACATAATCTTACATGATAAACATTAAACAATGCATAATAATATCAAATATTAATATTAAATAACTATTTTATGATACTTTTATATGCTGAAAATGTGTTACAATTAATTAAAACAAATAGAAACTTTATCTATTTCATTATTGATAGTATCCTATTTACAAAATAAGCTGACATTCTTAGTTGAAACAGATTCTAACTTTAGCTTCAAAGGATTCCCTATATAACCACCTTCCTTTCAAGTTGGCAGAGTTGGTGTATGGGGAATGAGTCATGCAAAGTGAAAGAGAATAAAATTATTCCTGTCATTTCTTAACAATAAAAGATGAAAGTGTTTCAAATCATTGTTTTATATAATCTACACATCTTTCCATGTTCAACACATGTCACACTCTTTACAGATCGTTAATTTCCCGCCTTGCTCGCTGCTATCACGTTTTTAAACACTTCGTCCTGATTTTTGATGATGTCGACAGTTTGCATTAAAATAGTTGCTTATTAATTTTGCATACCAGATAATCGCGACAATCAATTATGGCGGCCTCGCAAAATACTATAGCTACGCAATGTGCTCACGCCCCACTTTGGGCCTTTTATTTTATTATTTTTTAACTATAAATTGAACCATGAGTTTAACATTTTGCACACTGATTTGATGGAAAACGTATTCCAAAATTTCAAATTTGGTCGTTGAAAGTCATCTTGCATAAAATGTTTGAAGGATACATCTACGATTTGCCACCAGGGACTGGTCTGAATTTTTATTCACATATAACAGATAGCATTGACGATCGTTTTCGACTGGGATAACTATACAATGACGTTAGTGTAATTCAGCGTCGTCAGTTCAGCAGTGGAATCATTATGGTCTGGAGTGTCTTTACATTGCAAGGTTATGTTGGAAGGCTACTTGCACGCTTTTCACTAGCGTGCCGAAATTATACGTCATCGCGTTCTTCCATTTATCCGTGATACCCATTGTAACATTAATTGCAGCAGGACAACGCAAGACCTTGTACTGCACATGTTAGGGATATATCTACAGCAGTAGACTGAACATTTCTGTCTCTTAGATGATAAATGTCAATGTTTACGTTTATTATGTTGTTTTTAATATCAATATTTATTATGCTCATTTTGGAGATTCAAAAAATAAGCATACGCTGTTTGGTCTGAAGCATGAATGATTTGGTCAATTCCTGAGAGACAGATGGATGGGGCCCAACGGGAAAAGGATTTGCTGTGTGTTGTGTGCTTGGGTATTTAAAATGAAGTAAAGCCATGCGAGCGATACAGGACCCATGGGCCTCTTATTATTTGATGTCGTTTCTGTTTGGAGTATTTCCGTAGCCTGTATCTCCCAATGTGATTAAGACGTGTTGTTTTGATTTATTATTGAGTGAGGGATACTTGTTGTACAGTGCATTTGTAGACATGATAAGACGGTATACGTCTTTGTTGGGTGTAAATATATATGACGAAACCGATATAGTCGAGAGGACAAACATACTGTTGTGTTGTAATAATTTTTATTGGCATTATTTTCTTATTTGCTTTAAATGGTTTTTTTTCTGGAATAACCTATTTCTGCAAAGTGAAACCATAATCTCACTTAACCAACAGTAGTTTATGTCTTTAAGAAACATCTACTGTTGAGCGTGTAGTAGTTCAGAACGTTTTTACTTCGATCTATTAAATATGTGTAAATGAATCCAGTGACTTTGCCATTATATTGAAGACATTCACACTCCTTGCATTGATCTCGTCAATCGAACTGAGAGATAGTCCATCATATTCTGAAATGTCTTCAAGTCATCTGTATGTTGGATTTCATGCTATGGCACGGGCCTCAGAAGTATTTTCAGTATCTCACATAGGTCTAAATATAACATCGTTATTAAGGTCTCGTTGTGACGTGCGGAGGACAATTAAGTTGGAACCGTAATATAATATCAAGTTTATTTACATCTGCAGATATATTGATAAAACGTTTATACATAGAGATTTTATTCAAATACTGCAAAAGCAAAACATATTGTCAATATATAGATAGATAGATAGATAGATAGATAGATAGATAGATAGATATGTTCAACCTCGTTACGTTAAGTTACAAAATTATACATGACCTGCTTGAAATAAAGAAAGAAACTGATCAAGCTGTCTGCTTATAATTGTCAATCAGATACTGCCACCTATCCTTCAGCACCCGTTTGGGTGTATTCCATAGTTTGTGAAGAAGTGGCCAGCCTTTCTTTGCTGTGGTGAGTGCGTATATGTTGGACGAGTCCTGGTAGTAATTGAAGGCTCCAATCACCAGTGACTGACACAACCGAGCACACACTGATGTCTGTAACACATCCAACTCGACGTCATTTAAAGGAAAGACGGGTACCAGACCAGCTAATATGTGGCCGCCAGCGTCGAGCTGCTCTGAGGGATCACAAATGATTGACATGTACGCGATATTAATTGCAATATCAAATATGCGATAGGTGTCGGTCACGTGCATAAAATCCAGTAGGCCTATGACGTCATAAACACGTGCTGCTGGTATGACATCATCTTGCCCCGGAACCTCTGCGACGAGAATGTTTTGTTCGTTAAAGTCCCCATGTATTACACCTAATTAAGAAAGAAAAAAAAAATGTGTACAGGAAGATTTTGGCATTAATTGTTTTTGATTAGTACTTTATATGTGTTTTTTTATAAATCCGTCAAGATATAACGTACCGTGGATAAATCTATAACATTTGGGAAACATCAATGCACGAACATAACTTCTAAATTGCTACGGATGGAAACCAAAAACACTCGAAAAATGTATCAGAAATGGGGTATCTGAATACCAACATTTTTAATATTTTCCTACAGTTTTGTTGAAATATACCTGTCAAAAATATATTTTGTAAACATCACGTGATTGATTCATGAGATTTTAAATGAATGATTATAAATAATTTTCCAATGCTAATTAATATAATGATAGATAGTTTCTTTGCATACGTAGATCGGACACGTGTAAAAAAGCATAAGATTTTCAATTAGTTTTATTTCGATCTCAAATTTGAAAATACACATCAGACTACATTCTTTTAAATTATTGCATATAGAACTTTCATTTAAAGTAACATGATACAAAAATGATTTATCATACATAACAACAATCGCTGATATTCAAGTAATTTGGTTTTAACATTGCCAATTCTAACATAACTAAAGGGAACAGAGACAAAATATCCAACGAAATAAAAGCCAGTCTAATGAAACGAAGAAGAGAATAGCAGAAATTAAATATCGTGTTAACTCTCGTTGGACTTACCTTTCTGAAATTGACCAATCATTGGAAGAACATTGGATTCAAAAGAAGATAGGACCTCATCAACCACACGTCTGCTATTTTCATCTTTCACCACAAATACGAATTCTTTTAGTTTTGAGAACTCCAGAAGATTCCACAAAAATGAATGTGAGTTGTAGAAAGGGTGATGAAAACCCTACAAATGTATAACATCTAAGTTCTAATATCACATTGAAATAGCAGTCATACTTACTGTTTTCAAGAACATGGTTGATATATTGCTGGGGCATGTCTCTATCATATGTTTGGTATTACAGGGATACGTGTTTATGGTAAAACGATATATACTTATTCGTTAATGTGAAACACGTATAATGCCATCTCAATGCTATTACGAGGGAAACCACATGTAATGTGATAGTGAGTAGTTTGAATACATGATTAAATTAAGAATACATAGAAAAAGTTGATATATCTAATTCTTTCAGAAAACTCGAGCTTATCTTAAAGGTTAACTATCTAGAGTGAAAAAACATTATATATATATATATACGACAACCAAAAATTTGTATAAGCTCTTTATAACATGGAAAAAGTTATTCCGACGATAAATTGACCTACTTCGTTCAATTTGTTTTTATGATATCGTACCTGAAGTGAAATGCCTCTGATTGATGTGAACAACTGACAGTTTTAAAATATTTTGAAATATTTTTATTCATAACACGTTATGAAAAAAAGTATAAATGTGGTTATTACTTCAGAGCAAAAGATAACAGAAATCCAATGAAATCGAATTACTTTTATCAAAAATAGTGAACTACTGACCTGCTGTTTCATTTAATCAAAATACGTTTAAACGTTGGTTTATACAACAGTGAGGTCGTAACGTTTAATGGGAGTTCAAACGCCCAGCTATTGTGTACTTCCCTAATTTCCACTTGTATGAACGCTAGTTTCCCCCTAGTCGATTGGGATTCTTACCTTCGTTGCGTTCGAAAATTTACCAATGAATCTGCCGACATTGTATAACAAACCAGATGTACATGGTTTGGATAGCAAGACGTCACCAGGGATGTATCTAAGCAAGCGTACAATGTAGGTGCTATACGAAGCAGTGTATTGTTCTGAAAGAAGAATAGGAAAATTCGCATGATCACTGTATTAATTATGTAGGTTTTGACTATTCATAAGGACTGGAATACCATCGACTATTAATTAATAAAACATGTGAAGGGCCCAATGAAGGGGTGTTCTGAAGTATAAGATATGCAGGTCGGTCTGATAACAAAAAGAATTAGGCCCGCCCGTAGCTTGTTGTGACTAGTTGATAGATTTTAGTGTCGAGCGCTAAAACGCAACGACTCATTTGCCATTCTTAATTACTTTACCAAATTGATTTACGCAAAAATTCAGTAGCATGTATCGCTTTATTTATAGGTTAAATAACTAAGGTACATTCATGTATATCAAATGACAAGGTGCCCTAGTATTAATGGAAATAAGGGAGGGATAACATATACCTTTGAGTTCTTTTTCTGCAAAGACCTTTTCTAGAGACATCGCCTTGCCTGAAATGGTGAGGACGTTTTCTGGCACGGGTATGTCTTGTTTCCGAATATGTCTTAAAAGACTGTTCTGTGCTTCTGTAAAGTCAAATGAAATGGCATTACATAAACGCAAGTCAAAATGCATGATCCATCGACTTTATCACACTTGTACACAATTAAAGATTATATGGTTAGCAACAAAAATCATCTGTAATAATGATATCACTATATAGGAATCAGCCTATCTGCCTTTTGTTCTATAAGTCTTAATCCTAAACAATATGTGGAACCTTTTCATTACAACTGTATTTAGTATCATTTTTCGATGTACAATATCTTTTAACGCAGTTTGTCTACGTTTACACTTAAATGCGGGAACACAAGAATGATTTAATATAATATATTATAAGATTGTTTCGCAATTGCTGCAGAATAACAAGACACACACCGACACAACCACAAGCATCAATGTCTAGACGCAATTGCACCACCACCACCATCACCTACCTGCCCGGGATACGATTCCCTGAACGGATACGAGTTTTCTTTGATTTACTACCATAGTAAGACCCCTTGCGCACTTACATTAAGTATAATAACAAGTACAAATTGAAATTAATTGCATTTCTATATGTAAATAACGTATGCGCATACAACTATACAACATGAAGACAAAGGAGAACAAAACGAGAGAGAGAGAGAGAGAGAGAGAGAGAGAGAGAGAGAGAGAGAGAGAGAGAGAGAGAGAGAGAGAGAGAGAGAGATAGAGAGAGAGAGAGAGTAATTATTAAAGAACAGGATGAAAGGAGGGAATGGCTGGTAGATATGATATCAGATGTCAATGTGTGCTGATGCAAAATGACCATACAAAAGACTGTTATATATAACAATTTAGATAAATCAACTAACAGCCATGGCAACGACAGACTTGTGAACAGGGGCATTGTCCTGGTGAATCATCACATCTTTACTGAGTTTTCCACGGCACTTGAGTATAATGTTTTCTCTTAAATGCTTAAGAAGTGATGCATGATATGTGCCATTGATTGTTTGTACCTTTTGCAGATAATCTACCATCAGAATACCATCAGTATCCAAGAAAACCGAGGCCATTACCTTTCCAGCTGATGGAACAGTTTTCTTTTCTATCCATTTCTGGATAACAATATTCCCGCATCTCTAACTTATGGCATTTACAAGACACAGATGATTCGATATTCAAGGACCTGTTCCCATTTTAATTTTCGTAACACAAGGCTTCAAAAGATGCAGGTTGATGAAAATTATCATTATCGTTAGTATATGCAAACATTGTAGTTTTATTGCAGTTGGGAGACGAGACAGGTTTCACGCCAAATAGGGACCTTGTGACTGCTTCCTTGTAAGAGACGATGTATTTCTCGTTCAAGGAAAGAGACGAAAGTTCCCGAATGTAAAACTGGAAATCAGGTACACCATATATTTAACGTGCTGTTATCTTGACAGGTTAAAATTGTAATTTTCAACGACGTTTTGATCACATGCGTTTCAAACCATTAACGTATATGCTTGGTAAGTTTATTTGTATTATCTAAGACTTTTAGTATGAAAGCTTTTAAAGATGTTTTGGCAATCAAAATATTTTTCAATCCATTAATCGGATCGACAGTTCTCATTGCGTGCTGCGGTAGGTGTATTGTGGGTAGTGAAGTTCCAACAACATTTCAGTTTAAAGTTGATCGTATGGTCAGCTTAAGCTTGTTGGTCTTGAATTATAACACAATACCATAGTTGCACTCTTGCCTGTATTTTCTGTAATTTTTTGGATATATTGCTTAAAGATTTGATTTTACCATATCTTTTAACCGATCACGTGTTTACCAGACTGGGGTTTGTCATGACTTCACATATACTTCTCAGAGGCAGTGCACAAACATGTTATCAATTATATGTATTAGCGTAACATCGATCGTCTGTGATATGGAATACAAGTCTGAAATATTCTGATCGATGTTTTTCTCATCTCAGCTTTTAGCAAATATGAGATATATATCTTTTTTTTCTGTCAAAGTTGTTTGTGGAAGTTGCCGGACAATATAAAGGATTGAAAATAAGACAATTAAATAGTTCTTTTTGAATTTAAATGCGTTGATGCCAAATAAGTAAATAATTTGCATAATACAGCAGTATCGCCGTGCTAGGGCTCAGGTCCGAAGCAAGTGATACTTTTACCTTCTAGGGTAAGAACACTGCTATCATGGCTAAATCCGTAGGATCACTTCCTATCAGCATACTGTATAACTTTGATACATCAAATATAACTCTAAAAAGGTACCTCATTTTATAGATATCGAGACAAATGTGACCATTCTTTAAACATATTTCCGCAATGTATGAAGTGCAAATGTATATGTGAACTTTGAATTATAAATGTAAGGATTTTTATATCTACTTACCTATGATTGCAGGATATTGAGAATCAACGGCGTTCAGTATCTTCAAAATATAGCCGTGTTTCCACACTTCCGGTTCGTAAGGATTATTAGAACTGTCATGTACAGTCACGTGGTAGTTCCGGTCTTCATAGCTATTCAGTTCCTGATAGTCCACTACATCTAGGCCATATTTGTTACGTACAATGTCCTCCACAAATCCCGTGGGGATCTTTGGTCTGATTGATACTGCCTTTTTTACCAACAATTCTTTTCCGTCGGTCTCTTCCTTGCTAGGGTTCATTATTTCTGAAATAATTTGCCCTGGGATAGAATTTAAAATAACCGCTTATCTGTCATGATGTGGCATACAAGTTGGGCCTAACTTCAGACAGACTAAACAGAAATTCACAAATACGACTCGACAGAAATTGTATATGCATGACTTTCCAATTCTACTTAAGTACATATCAGCTGTAACTGAAAAAATAAGATATGTTTTATTGTCAGTTATCAAACATCAAAATAGACAAATATGATAATATCTCAAGGTCAGTCAAGATTATCAGCTTCAACTTAGAAACGCATTAATTATGTGAATTGTTGTTATCAATGAACGCTTTTCCTTCGGCATAATGCATAGATATTCCTTATTGATTTCGTGTACGTTTTATTTTCAATGTGCCTTTTACTAAAATTAAAATGTATCATACAAGCACTAACATGATATTATTTAAAAATTTGAGTTCATACTTTCCACTGCAAGGTATTACCAGCCTATTTGTAACACTGGTCTTAATTTCGAGTGATGATTTCCTGAAAAGAACCCTTTGCTTATTTTTGAGTTTTGCTTATTTACAAAACAGGCCTATCTTTAAGATTTAGGATATAAAGATACAAGCAAATAAAATACAGAGATTTAACATAATCCTAATTCAAACTTGAATTAATTGAAATTAAGGCAAAATATAAGTAAAAGGAATATTTTACTCGGAGCTATTTTAAAATGTACAAGGAGAATGTTCCAGACGGGTAAACATCATCTGACTCGTAGATGACATCCGCCATGCAAATGATAACAAGGTAAACGGCAACAGAAAAACTTATAGTATACTAACGAGAATCAAAGAAGTTCAACTTGCATAAAAATCGTAATGGGATCAAGTCATTTAATATCGAATCCACTGCGACATGTAAACACCATAGGTTAGGGATGTAGAGATATTAAAATTCAGCAATAGAACATTCACAATAATTAAAATCATCATGCTCATCATACAGCTTAGTGGAAAGATGTCTCTATAGGTAATGACCGGGATTAGAGGCTGATTTAGAAGTGTCTTGTGTCATTCTATGGCGTTCATTCCCAAAAGATTAGTATATGCATGCGGAAAAATCTGGAGAATGTGCATACCGTGTCACGCCTGACAAGATGTAGCATTCTTACTTACCCATGTACGGTAAAAATGTTCAGCTAAACGGCTGCTATGCAGAAAGTAGAAAGGTATGAAATAAAGATTTTTATCTAAACTAATCTTTGCAATATCTGTACATTGTAGATAAAAACGAAAATCCTTCACTCTGTACATCATCTGTTGAACTGGAATGTGTTAACGCGGTGTCTGTTTATGAAGCACATCTGGAATTTTGTTTACGACAAGTTCAGGAAATGTTTCAATATTACACGTAGTTTCTACATACCATAGTCACTTATCAATTAGACTTTCTTTCCGTTCAAGAAAATCTAGATTATGTTTTATACTTTGATACTTGTAATGATTAAGTTTACAAAATACAAACCAAGTCACCAGTCTCCTCTACGAAGGTACGAAGTGCACACACCGTGTCTATGTATGTAAGTATACGCTGTTGTGTCGTTTGCCCGGTTATCAAAACTTTCATTTAAGGTAGCAGGTATATAGTAAACGAACATATCACCATGGAGCTTTTGTCAGTACGAGAAGATGAAATATACCGGATGACTTTCAGAACTGTCCAACTTATTCAAACGCCTTTGACTTCCGAGAAAGTCAATATATTCAGGCTAGGAAGATAGAATTATCATTAACTGCAAATACCTGATGGTGGCTTTGGTGATTCATAACCTTTCATGCTTTAACCATCCGTATTCAGAAGTCATATGCCGCGTAGATAATGTGTCTTCAAGTAAAGCGAAGTCGTTGATAGAAAAGGAGGAACGTGTTGTGAATTTGAATCTTATCTGTCGTACATGGCAATAACCGCATACATAAACCATAAAAGGTAAGGCAACAGCCATGTATATTTGAAGAGGTTCGCATTTTGAATGCTATGATGCGTATAAAATATGACCAAATTAGGTTTTATGGGGTTTTAGGAGTGAATTCGGTGTAAGTTAAAACCATCTAAAGACATAAAGACATTGTGTCTATCGGCGTCGGGTGCTTTTATTTAGTTTATATTTTTGTTACTGATGACACTGAATCAGAAAAAAATCCCAGAAATTCAATTATAGTTTCATTCTCCTCCTTAATACTATTAGTATGACGACTTCAGCATACTATATATACTATATGCTATATAGTTCTCGTATCAAATAATTTCAATGTCTACTAGATAAAAGTTGGGCAGAGAACAGACTGTGGATTTAAGTCTACTGTATTTCAAATCATGTTTGCTTTAAAGACAGTATTTTTTTGCTTGGAAAAAATTCGATGTTTATCTCCATCTGTTTCGTTGTGTTTAGTTCTACAAAATCCAACCATATTTCTGTTATCTGGGTATATTACTGTGTAAATAAAAACAAGAAAACACTTACATGAGAACATGATCATAATCAAAACTCAAATTTAATAAACCTAGCACAAAATGACAGATTTGCAACGAAAAGCCCGTAAAATAATCAAACAGTGTCCCGATATCGGTTAATCAGATGCTGCCACCTATCCTTCAGCACATGTTTGGGTGTATTCCATAGTTTGTGTATGAGCGGCCAACCTTTCTCAGCGGTAGTGAGCACGTACAGATTAGACGGGTCCTGATAATTAGAGTAAGCTCCCATCACCAGAGACTGACACAACCGAGCACACACCGATATCTGTAACACATCCAACTCGACGTCATTTAAAGGAAAGACGGGTACCAGACCAGCTAATATGTGGCCGCCAGCGTCGAGCTGCTCTGAGGGATCACAAATTATTGACATGTACGCGATGTTGATAGCAATATCAAATATACAGTATGAATCGGTCACATCCATAAAATCCAGTAATCCACTGACGTCATAAACACGCTCTTCCGTTGTGACGTCATCCTGCCCGGGCTCCTCTATGACGAGAATGTTCTGCTCGTTAAGATCACCATGTATCACACCTGAAATGAAAAAAATGACTTGCGTTAATTTTTCAATCAAAAGCCACCGAAAATAGAAAACATAATTAGATAACAATAACAAGTTGTAAGTGGACAATTCAAACGTTTTCAGACAAAATTACATGTTTCGAAATCAATCCTTTCCGTCTCAACATATCTAGAAAGGTTGAATAATATGTTGAACTTTCACTAACAATTGTTCACCGCTAGTCTAGCAACCGGGTACCTTTATTGAAAACCAAATACAACAAACTACATAAATGTCAAACTTAATATTTGTTGTAACATATGTTTCAAAATGTTATCATCAATCCGCAATGTTTTTCACATTCAGGATGATCTACACAAAATGACCTTACCAGGTTGTACTAAAGACGCACAAGTGTATAGCATCTTTCAATGCAAATTAGAGTTAGAAATAGTAGAACCAAGCAATGATTTAAACTGCATCATAGATATGTCTCGTCCTTCTAGGGCTCGTCAATGATGCTGAGGACCAACATTATGTAATTAATTAGAAGTTGTCTACACATCAGTACCAACAAACCTTTTTGGAGTTTACCAAGCACTGGTAGAACATTGGATTCAAACGCAGATATGACCTCATCAACCACACGTTTGTCATTTTCGTCTTTCACCACAAATACAAATTCTTTCAGCTTTGAAAACTCTAGCAGACTCCAAACAAGGGAATGTGTATCATAAAACGGATGATGAAAACCCTGGAATAGAACGTCAATATCTAACAACAAAATGCAATCTTGTCATATTTTTAACTGATGCCATTATATAATGTCATGCATAAGGTGCGCGCCTGAGTCCGATTCACGTCTCCGACTTATTTAAACTTTCATCGCAAGCTTAATTTAAGCAACATTCAATATGTATAATATATCCGTGTATATGAAAGTGACTATCCCAGAGACATTTAATGAGTGTACCACTCTTGTATTCATCGTACCCTGTACAACAGCAATCTCTTACTGTTTTGTAGATATAATGAAAAGCGACAAAAATATTCTGAAGCATTCTTATTTAAATACAGATGTGAAATACTTTTTGCAGATCCGGTACTTACCTTCGTTGCGTTCGAAAATTTACCAATGAATCTGCCGACATTGTATAACAAACCAGGCGTACATGGTTTGCTGAACAGGATGTCTCCGGGGATGTATTTGAGCATGCGCACAATATAGGTACCATACAAGGCACTGTCTGGTTCTGAAAAATATTCGAGATGATGATGCACACGCTGATGGCCAACCAGTAAGATATCGTCAGGAAGAAATGACTGGAATAAAAACTGGCTACATCTAACAGTTCATGTAACAATGACATTAGCAAATATGATTTAAGAAGCATTGCTTATCGGTAAGTAATTCACAGACTAGGATATGTTATGCAATATTATTTACGGAATAAGTAGCAGATTATTTGTTAAATTCATATACATGTATTATAAAGATTATTATTTATAGTTTATTAAGTTATATCTTATCAAACGATAGATAATTAAGGATATAGAAACAACATCGAAATTACCCACGTGTACACAGAATTTTAATTTAAGGTAAAAACCTATGAAAAGAGGGAAACTAGACGGAAACCACTGGAACCTAAAAGGAGAATAAGACCAGTGTTTCGGAATGGTACGTATCGTCTGCTTCATCGACCACACGCGCGATTGAAAGTCGGGTTAATCCAAGCGTAACACACGTCATTATCTATGGCAATGCCTCTGCTAAGATTCGGGACTCAGGACCCCTGGCTTACTTGTCTGACGTTCAATCGATCGAGCTTACTAGATAGAAGTTCTATCCCGCGGCATATTGCGGCTAGTATTTAATCAGAGCTGCTAAGATTCGAACCCGGGGCCCCTGGCTTACTAGACAGAAGTTCTTTCAAATCGAGAGGTATCTTGCGTGTAGTATTTATCATGGTTACACAAGTAATACATTCAGCGTTCCCAAATGTGTACAAAGTAAACAACAACGGGTGGTGTACTTTTGCATGTTTGAAATCACAGATTATCAATTTCCTCCTGCTATACGAGACCATCTTATTACATTTGTAAGTTTTAGTAGACGATCACAAATGTCACTATAATACCTTTTACTTCTTTCTCCACAAAAACCTTTTGTAGAGACATCGACTCGCCCGACAAGGTGAGGACGTTTTCTGGCACTGACATGTTTTGTTTGCGGAGATGACTCAACAGACTGTTCTGTGCTTCTGTAAATCAAACATGAATGCTTGGTAAAATCTGCAGGTCTAATAGATCCTTGGGAAATCGATGTAGAATTCTTTACATAATTTAACATTAACATAATTGTCATCAGTAAGGTTCTTCTTTACATTATATTTCTGCTAATCAGTCTCTTTTGCAGAGCTGTGCATTTAAGTCAATATTATATCACCATGCTTTTAATTACTGAAGTTCAAAACTCTGCCTCGTGTATCTTTTGTTTTCATAAACTTACCAACGATGACAGGACGTTTGGAATCCATGCTGTTTAATATCTTCAAAATATAGCCATCTTTCCACACTTCCGGTATGTGAGTATTATTAGAACTGTCATGTACTGTAACGTGGTAGTTCCTGTCGTCATAGCTATTCAATTCTTTACAGCTCTTTACATCTAGGCCATATACTTTACGTACAAGATCCTCCACAGCTCCTTCAGGTATCACAGGTTTGATGATTTCCCCCTTTTCCTGCATCAACACTTCCGGTTTAGTAGCTCCGTTGTTATTATCCATGGTTTCTAAAGAAAAAAACAAAATGATAATTTTTAGCTTTTTCTAGAACCCAGGCCTATCACACGTTAATAATGAAACATGGCATATGTATACGTTCTTTTACAATTTCATTATAAACAGCTTAGTAGTCTATCTACAGCTTGACTAAGTTCATATTTTCCATCAATTGTGAGTTGTTTACACGTCTTGCTGGATAGAGCCTTTGTAAAACACCTGTCGCTCTCTTTTACACACAAAGTTAAACTCACCAGAACATTTATTTAAATAACAAACACCTTATTGATTAATAATCATAATTTATGGCATTCGTGTTATATTTTTACCTGAACATTGTACCAGAGAGACAGACGCATCAAAGTGTGACGACAGTATTCACGGGCGCCAGGGTGGCCTTCAAATTTATTTACCTTTCAAATAATGCAGGATTTCAAATCAACCGATTTCAAGTTAAACAAGGTGAAAAATACTATGACATTTTGACGGGGATTATTTTCATTTCAAACTGACCGGTTTTCAATATAACCGAGTTCAAATTCAGTGGGTTCAACGGTAAACGTAGATATTAGACGATTGTCACGTGATCTGCATCAAAGTTTCAGTTATTGATGTTATTGATCTTTATATGATTTTTTAATTTAACCACTATTTCTTGATAAAGAGCAACCAGTCCAGATGTTACAATACATTTTGTTATTTGGTAATATCGACTGCATTTACTGTTTGCTGACAGCATGTAACTATTTCAAACTTTTATGACTTCACTCACGACTGTACATTAATCAATCAAACGAGTAGAAAGTTAAAAAAAATATTGAATGCATAAATAAATTTCCAAACATTGGTATTTTTTGATATATTTCACCGATGACATCTCATATACAGGTAAATATATTGACACACAACACCGACAACCACCAAGAATATAAATCTTACAGAAAATGTCAGATAGGCAGAACTAGCAAAGACTGATGAACCAAACAACTACATGCTTACATAGAAATGTGGGAGATGATAAACACCCATAGTACATACAATGTATCTATACATTCACATAATGTTCTTTGCACTAACGACATGCGTTTACTGCAAATCTAGGGATGACAGATCGGTCATATCTATGTATAGATGACACTGTACGCGCTAATTAAGGATGTATTGTTGGCTAATTTACATACTTTTATAAAATTGTTTATTATTTTCTTCCTTTTCCTAGTATGGCTATGCCTTAGAATAGTTCGGGGTACCATTAAGTGAGCTAACAGTAGTGTTGTTTGTAATATATGTTCTCGATACATCCGTCACACAAACAGTGTACGCGTGTACTGTTTATCAAGGTTCAGGTGTCAGCCGTGAACTTTGTAACACATCACCCGAGCTGACACCGAAACTTCTTCCCATGTCAAATCCACGTAAAATAATACGCTGCATGAATAACACATGCTTCAGTACTTCAAGTATTCAAGTATAAACACATAACAGAACTGTTTGTACCTGCACATAGTCTAGACGGTCGTAATTAGATAGTTACACTGTTGCTACAAGTGTATTTTCCATGTACTAGTATTAGAACTCCCGGTATTATAGATGATATCGATCAGTAGCACACATATGCTCTGGAGTGAAATAAAGAAATTTGAAACATAGAACAACTGTAGCTAAAGGCATTGAATCCACCATAGTACAGCTTCACATTTACAGTGCATTACGCTTGAATAGGATGATCCATCAGGATTAAGTTAATACAACACTAGCTTGTGCAATCGTAGCGATATCAAGGTTATAATTCAGTAGAATGAAGGCACGCGAAGCAGACAGCGATATTTAAAAATAATATGGCGATGGAGCTAAACATGTGCTTACCGGTTTATATCGTGGTGTAAGTGACCTATGTACGAAACCACGTGATATAGGAGATATCTCTAATGTAGCGACAAGCGAAATGTTGACAGATCAGGTTTGTGTGTTTGTATATGTATAGGCCTGTTGATAGAGGTAGCTCCCCTAACAGATAAGGATGTCAATATGTTACAGTTCACTTCTCCAGGATATAAAAGTATGTACGATTAGGTTTATGGGGTATATGAACTGTAATATAACAAGAGCATTGTATGTATATATACGTAGCATCAATGTATAGTGTACACACCTGTGTTTCCGTAGCCTACAGTGATAGTGGTTGTTGATGCGTGTCCACAAAACAATGGATTTCTAATTATTGGTAGTTGATCTTTCGAATATCTACGTTCATGTACAGTCTGACATGAATATGGCGGCCGCCATGATGGATCCTACAGGTGTAGGGTTTTTGTTACAGGCTTCAGCCGTTATTGTCACGATTGTAGTCTTGTTTGTGATACAGATCACATTTGGAATGATAGCTTTTCGGTCAAGATGTCAGAATTTATTTACAATTTTATTGATATCCGCAGTAGGGCTATCTGTGCAAAGTGTTTTGATTATTGCTCTATTCAATAGTACAGACGGATGGAGAAATACTTTTCACGAAAGGCATATATACAATTGTGTGCCACGCAATTCCATTCAACAACATGAAGAAGGCCAAGACAATGCTGAATATATCGAGTATTGTGGGGATTTTCGTATGTTATCCCTCGTTCTATCAGTAGTACATTTTGTTGTTTTAATGGGACAGACACCATTAAACAATTCATTCACAGACAAACGAAAAATGCTGTATTGTGGAGGTATTGTATACTTCTGTATTGTTACCTGTATCATGGGCTGGGTTTATTGGCCACCAAACCGTGATATATCATTCACTACTATCATTGAATCTCTCCATCATGTCACTCTGCCGACCTGTTTACAAGCGGCGCGGGAACAGACTATTCCTGTTCTGATGGAAACATTGGGTATATACGTACCAGCGTTATGTATATTATCACTAACCGATGGAAAATGTGAGTATATTGCCAGCTTGTAAATCAGTTAAGGCTTTATAGCACTCAGTATACATGTATCAATGATATCATTCATACACATTAATGAAGCATTCGCCGTCCAGGTTTCTCTTATAGAAAATTGAACTCTCTATGTATGAATACGTTAATAAAGTACTCAATGTTGAAGTCTTTCAACAGAATAAACAGGGAATGATCAAGTAAATGTATATATAAACACAGTGATATCTACTCACTTAATTGTATTTTCATTAATGGAATTAAATATTACAGACAATAAACACTATTAAAAATCAAGGGAGCTTTTTGCCGTTGTACGTAGAGTGCCTCAGTTCACAGTTATACATACGATAATAAGAAATATCATCCTTATTTTACTCGGATATCCACACGCTGATTTCTTGAAGGTATCCTATTACAATAATATCATGTCAGGCCGATGTTTAAATAATTTTTTCCCAAAATAAAACAAAAAAGCAAAAGTAGTGAAAAATTCGCCATGACTCAGAATGTTTTATTTTGTTTCTTAGTATATGCAGAAACCAGTTGAGGATATATGTTTTTAAAGTGAATTTGTTTGTATATGTAGAGTATCACCTTCTATACGTATCGCAAAAGTATAACAATTAACTGTTCTGGCATAACGACTTAATAACAATTACTGTTAGGATATCCGACTTCATAATATTAAAAAAAAAATATGTACACTTTAGTGAAAGAGCCAGACCTACTCCTCGACCGATATTATTTTATATGAAAAAAAATCATGATTTTCTACTTTTCTCGGATAGCAAAAGTTCTGACTAACCCTGCAATACCGCAATTTTGAAGTAAATCGCTACCTATCTAACGTAATAAATAGTTTTAAAAAATAATTCGAAGCGACTCAGTGCTAATTCATGATTATGCGGGAAGTCCTGACTTCTGACGCATGTGCAAAGAACTGTAAATAAATATGCCGTCTTCCAACATGGCAGAACGCGTCCGAGGGAAGCGGGGAACAAAACATGTTTTGACGAAGTCTGAGGCGAAAAGAAGGAAGATGGCTGGTTCATACTCAGTATCTCTCTCTGTTTGGCTCTCTCGTGTAGTATCACTCTAAATCATATTCATAAATACTCTTATCATCGAATATATTCAGATAGATCCATTGCGCGATGATCTATATGTTCGTTACCGTATCGTAGCCCCCATTTGAGGGCCTCTTTGCAATGAATCTTAGTTTTTCTCGTAATCTGCACGTTTTTGTGTCATATCTAAACATTGAAAGATGTTATCAATACATACGTCAGATGATTCCCATACATATATAGAGAATTGATTGCATTTATCGGTAAAATCTCTTTACAAGCGATGTCACATCGACGTACTACTCCCCTCCTCCTCCATTTTGGTTTTGGTTCTGAACGCGTCTGAGCGTATCACGTGGCTTTTCCTCATCGATATTCATATCCTGGTGTTGATAAATGAGACTAATTCCGGCACCGATATCTCCGGTACCTTTTCAATTTCAAGTTCAAAACTTTATACAAGTCTTTATTTATATATTATCTATTAGTATACAACAACATTTCCAGTCAATAAAATATGAAAAAATATCTATAACGGAGTGGGTCTGGCTCTTTAACTTATTTACCAGATAATATTTCTTGAAATATACTAAAACGGGAATTGATGTGGAACGTTTAAATGGAACTTAATTAAGCCGTACCGATATCATCATTATCAACCTCGTCCTGTTAATAGTCACGGCCTCCTACTAATGTTGTTATGACGACAGTAATGCTATTGCCTAAAGATGGCCTCAAGGTGTTAAACAATGTATATAGGTAGTTATCTTGTTTATGTATCTACTTGTATGTTTATTTGATGTACAGAATTGGTTGTAAATTTACATATAATATATCAATAAATTTACAACAAGTAGTTTATTTATTATGCTTTACGAAAACTACCTTATATATATAACTAGATAATTGTGTATATTTTCTAAATAGACATATTAAAATTTTGCATTACTGTCTCCCATTAACTCATTTTTAATCAAGATTAATCAAGATAGCTTTCCATGAAGTGCATTAACTTGACATATTCTTGATCACAAGGTAATAACGTGACGTCACTAAGTGGCCATATTGACTTACGAGTCATCTATGATAACACCCATTTTAGTTTCTAGATTGTCATCATTTTTAAGAAGCTAATCAAATGATGTTATCTATTTTCAGGGCAGCAATGTGCTATATTCAAGAACTGTTTGACAGAAGATGGTACTCACTGTGACGTTTGTTGCGGTGCCAATGGACTTCTAAGTGACTGTTTTATGTTTTATGCATTAATTATGGTAATATTGAGACCTGCGTTATATATTTACTACTCTATCTATGATTCTCAAATAACGGAAATTTTTGTATTCGGTTGCAATTTGTTTATTCCCATAGTTTTGTCGATAAACGCAATACCATATTTAAACAGCATATTCATAAAAAGAAAACATTTGATATATGGCCATGAATCAAATATGTTCATAGTATGACTTTATTTATAACTATATCGCATGACAAAGGTCAAAGTGTATTTTTATAATTTCCTTACCAATAAGAACATTTATTAACGAACGTCATCGTATTGCCATATCATACAATTAAAATAATGCTTGATATGCGAAAAATATCATTATCAGTTGTAGATGATTGTTGCATAACAAGTTTGTTGATTATTTCTCTGTCAAATTAGCATTGGATTCACCAGATCTATTGGGGCATTCTAAGTGTCGAAGTTGAAATGGGTTCATATCTACGTCCATGTTAAGTAATCTTTGATCAGGATATTTTTCAGTGATGAGTTGAGTAATTCGTCCATCACAATTTTGTAAAGTTTCTGTCGTCTATGTGGTTGCAGTGTATATTATGTAAACATCACAAACATATGACCACAATAACAGAACTTTTAATTAAGTGAATTGTCTGGTAACACTACAACAATTACATAATTACAACGGATAAAATAGTTCCTGATATTAATTACTGTTAAATTATCTTCAGAAATGCTTAACTTTTGTGGCTTTCCAAATATATGCAATTTCCGTTGGTGCTTGATTTTGCGGATAAACTTCGCTCAACAAATCATCCATGTCAACTTGCATCTGTTTATCAGTTCGTGGATGCATAAATTCGTGAATATAGGTTATCTACGTATTCAACAGAAAGACATTCCCAACGAAAAACATTTGTTTTATTGTATTTAGTATTAAGCGATTATTTATTACAATGATACTGTATTAATATTGATCATGATCGACGCTCTATGGCGTTCAATCGTTTCTAATGATTTTTCTAATTTGAATATATAGCACCTTGGTGTAAATAATGTTTAAATGAAATTTGTTAAAAGCTCTGTATGTAAACTAAGATTGCAAATCCGTTTAATAATAATTTTCAGAAAACCGTACAGAACAAAGATGTGCTACAGCAACGCTATATTACTGTTCAAATTATCTTTAAAGAGGCATTTAAAAAATATATGAAATTCAGGGACAGCTATAGAAAGTGATTAACAATTGCTTTTTAAAATGAACTTGACTTTGAGAAATTACTAGTAGTCTGAAAACTGTTCTAAAACATACAATATTGGGACAGGCATGAGAACTAATTGATATAGGTCCTATGTATATCTGTTGAAGTCACATTTCTCTTAATACAGAGTAATGAATAGTACATTATAACTGATTGGTAATATCTACGTATTCAACAATTCTGAACTTAACTGCTTAAAACGTATTCAGTAATCAACAGCGACCGCAGCCAAGATATGTTTCTAAAAATCGGTGCATTTTCCATCACTGTATCTTGGTATAAATCCCTGAGAATTTTCCATCTAATGTTTGAATGTTGGAGAGATTGGAATATACTTTGTCAGTCTGTACCTTTTGAGCAGTCTCGTGATAACTGGTATGTTATATACATCTGTGTTTTCCTGGTAGTCTGGGGTATCGGTTTCTTCATCATTTAAATCATTCTTCCAAGCCAGTATCCCTCGATCCTCGCGCGTTCCTGAAAAATAAAAAGTCATTAGTATAAGGCATTACTGGGAATTTGTATAGCGGTTAACCCAGCAAAATTTCACCGATGTCGTTGCAACGATAAACTTGATAGTTTCTGGGGACAGTTGGATAATAATTATATATACAATGAAATCAATTGCGATGATAAAATCAGATTGATATTTCAATTTATTTGATATATACGATACGCTTTCTAAAGCATGAACTTTGGACTGAATAGGCTATGTATTTGATATTTATCACACTCTCACCCGGTAAGGTGTTATCGAGGAGGCATGCTGCCAATCCACCCATAAAGCTGGCGTTTGTCATCAGAATTTTCACTAGATAAGTTAACTGTTGTATACCTAATTAAAACAAAAGTTGACAAAAATAGCAACAATTTAGTGCAAATTAGTAAGATGACTAAAAGCTTCGGTAAAACTGTTTTAAACTTAAGGAATTCATCAATGACAAAGAAGCAAACTGTTGTTACCCATTGAAATTTATGACACTATGAATGACATTTGAACTTCGTAAAACTATAAATTTAAACTTCTTCAGCTTATAATTGTCCACCAAGGACCTATTTCTGTAATAGTCTATAACGACCAGTGTCTAGGCAAGAGGACACAAGTTACCATCAGTAATCAGTTATCAGTAATCAATGGGTACAAGGCAAAACGATATTTAATATCACTTTCTAAATAAATAATACTAAATACTTTATGCCATGACATATAATACATTTACGTTCATCAAACGCAATCTATATAGATTTGCCTTTGTTCATTTGCTTGTTTCTTTACTTTGTCGATCATTATACATATGTACTCCCAACTATTTTACTTGCACATTAATCAAACGCTTCCATCGCATATTATCACGGCATAAGTTTGGAAACAATAAAAAGTCTCCTCTCCTTCACAAAACAAGATTGTAGTATGCGTTTTTTATGAGTTGCGTCTATTACTTAAAAGTTTTTGTACATATTTCGGCGCTGTATGTTTAATGATTCTAAAATGATGCTAATAAAACTAATTTTTGATTGGTAAACCTTTATGATAAAATCATCGATATATGCACGAAGCGTCAATAGGTTGCCATGACAATTATTTTGACGCTAAACAAAACATGGCAACCACCTTATCACTCTGTTTAATCAGATGATCGACGTTGTCTATGGCATTATAATCTGACATCGAATAGCCGAATCTTGCTGTCGATCTTAGTGATCCGTCCCACGTTTCTCCTATTTGAGGTAGGTTAAACATAAGCATATATAATGAGAGAATGTCAAGAAATATGAGAGGTTTAATTTTCCCAAAACATAAAAAATGTCCTACACTGTCACATGATATTTTCTCTTACATTCACTGAAAGTTTTGTAAAGAATGATGAATAAATCCCATTTCAAATAACCGTGCTGTCAACTGCTGTGAAGTCCGAATCTCCTCGATCATGTTTAATTCTTTTATCTACGGTAAAGAAGAATTATATCTTTTCAGGTATGAACACTTGTAATTGATATGAATAAGCATTTTGACAGGTAACCACACAGACACATTTAAAGTCTTACAACTCAATAATCCTACCTCGAAACGTCATTATTGATTGAAATGAACGATTTGATAGGATGTGATAAAATTAGAGAAACGTTTATTAATATTAAAAATCCAATGCACTTCTGATTTTCAGTTTCTATTCATCTTCTAGAGAATACACGTCATTTGTACACTCGAGTTCGTCGAGTGTTAAAAACCAAAGTTTACGATTAGATACGTAAATGCATAAAAACCAACTTGTTACCCCATACGAAAACAAAAAAACAACCCAAAACATAAACCTACACTCCAATTCCATAAAACTAGGGCAAAATATGAACAAAAGAAATATTCTTGAGAAAGCACAAGGAGAATAGGGAGACCATGTCTTTCGGTAGAGTAAGCGTCTTCTGCTTCATCGACGATACGCGCCGTGTAAACCTGGTCAATTCAAGTAAGTAATGTCGCTTTCTCAAATGAGAACAAGAATTAAGTATGTACAGCTTTATACAGCACTAAGAAATATCATGAGATAACTATGACGACCATAGAACGTCCCTATAATTTGCAGCAACCTGCATTATTTAAAAATCAACTGCAATATTGTTAACACCATAAGCATGGATGTTGTTATCCAGAGATGGACAAATAATAAAGGGATTGAAATCATCATGTTTACTATGCAGCTTGGTGGAAAGATGTCCATGTTGATTTCGTTGTAGGAAAAGATCGAGATAAGCGGCTGACGTAGAAGAGTCTGCCGTGTTTTTTATTTCCACTTCAGGTGGGTATATACGATTGACATGGTCAAAACATTTCTTGTAACGTACAGACAAGACGTCATCAATATATCTAAAAGTGAAATTAAACGACTTTACAATGTCTTTGTAATCTGTTTTCATAAGCTCTTCAATAAATTCAGCCTCGTGTGAGATCAAAAACAAGTCAGCCAACAGAGGAGCACAGTTGGATCCCATATGTATGCCAATCGTCCATTTGAATATCTTACAACCAAACTCGATGAAAATGTTGTCAACTAGAAAGTCGATCATTTTTACTATTTCGTCACCCGTATAATATCGAGGAAACATCATTTATACATATGAAAAAAACACGAAAATATCAATATGTCAATATAATCATCATCCAAACTTTAACATGGGCAAGATATGAACAAAAGAACGATTTACGCGGCGACTCCTGAAAAAAGTACAAGGAAATTAAGACCAGGTGTTCTGGAAGAGTACGCGTCTTCTGCTTCATCGGTCAATCCAAGTAAGTTATGTCACGAGCTCAAATGAGAACAAGGTAAACAACAACGGAATCAACTGGCAAAGTAACGAGCGTCAAATACGTCCAGCTTCATGTCACACAAAGAAATGGTATTTTTCTCTATGAGATCACTATGTCGACCATAAAATGAACCATTAAAAATTAATATGTAAGATTAATCATTCCATAATTGTGCTAGACATAAGTAAGATATTTCTTCATAATGTATCTGCCTTTGTTAATTTATCACTGACATCTACTGTGAACAATTTTGTATTGACCAGTGGCCAGAGGCATTCTGTCGCTGTTGATCTACTACACATGTTCATGTATTAATTCGTTCCCTGAATATATAAGTCATTACCTAAAGCCTATCTAAGCAGTTTGTAGGAAGGTCAGTGTAACCTTACCTTGTAGTAAACAGCCGAATCTATTGCGATTTATGTGTGTAAGACCATAACTCCATAACTCAAATATTACTCAATCCTTGGTTACCTGTTAGTTAATATGTAATAGTACTTAATAAGTTTATTATAATGGCTAGTATAAATACAACCACTTTTCTAGCCAGTGTGTATCGGTTCCTGGAGGCTAGGCAGGAGAGAGGCTAGTCTCCACTGGCGGGACCCTCGCTCGCAAGAGTATCTCAACTCTAGTTTCAACTGATATCAACGTTTACCATTTTAAAGTGTTTGCATTACTTAAATTAACTAATGGAGGTGCATTCTATCTTAATCATACCTGTTTCCAACTTGTCCATGTTTTGCTTCGACCAAAGTGGGATCATTAGACCGCAGAGAAGGGACATTCCAATAACGACAAGGTTCCGCGTTGAATTAAGATTTACAAAGCTGAGGTTTGAGAAGATGATACCAAAGAACGACCCCGTCATTATGAAGGTGGTGCCACCAATTACTGGATATGGAATAGCAACAAAGCAAGCAGACAACTTCGCAATCATGGCCACCACCACCAATTGCACTCCAAACATCTGAAAAACTCGCAGGCTGCCAACCTGGAAAAAAGTCTTACTATTCATTGTCTTATAATTGAAGGCAATTCGATAAAATATGTGTATCATTTGATGTTTACCTCTCCTATCTCGCTGATTTGAAATGGGATTGTTTGATCACCACGCCTTTTCAGCAGATATATATCATCCTGTCGAATTATTGGTTGTTTTTCTACGTTTTCCAAACGTGGTCAGTCGGACACTGTTTCGCTTTCTTTATATTAAGTCATACATTCAGGTTCTTCAAGTCATACAGGAAAACTTCATTCAATGAGTTGAAGATAATATGCTTATCATTATCATTTTATGCACCTGATAGATTTGCAGTACATGGATTATACTTTCATGTTTGTCAGACTAGGCTGTTGTGGACGCATGCTTTTTGTATGCAGGGATTCGACAACCAGCATTATGGGGGTATATTTCAAGTGTGAATCTTCTCTACTAACAACACATGGTAGCAATAAAGGCGACATATCTAATCTGTAATGTATAGTTATGACAAAGCTTAGAGGTCCAGGTTTTTATCAAGATTCAGCATTAACGGGGCCCAGAGGTTTTAAAATGTTTATACTAGGTCGTTTGTAATATAGATAAGAATTTCTACAGAAACTGAGCAGTGGTAGACGTTAAACCATGAGTTTAAATATGTGACTAAGAAGTACATTATTAACTGAAAGTAAATATATAAGCAATGTCGTAATTTCAAAAAACAAATCGTTCGCCTGAAACACTATTTTAGGAAAATAAGCTATAAAAAAGGCTGAGTAATATACGGATAGAGGGGAGGTTATTGTATTAGATCAGTATGAAGCATGACAGTGACAGTACATCTGCAATACTGAAAATAAACTTGCAAAAACAATTTCATTTGAATAGTCACCTCATCATTTGCAGAAGAAACTGAATGCAATCTGATGGTAGTTTTGTACGGAGACACAGACGGGATATCCATTTATATTTTTTCTATTACGTACGTATGTAAAAATATTTAGCTTTTATGACGTGTTAACAGGATAGAAAAATATACACACTGGACATTATTATATGTCCACTTAACGTGAACACATTTCGCTATCTTTACTTTGTACGCACGTAATATTACCTGTTTTACGCCCCCACGTCATAGAAAAATATACCCATTTGTTCATCCACACTGATGTCTTTCAAAAATAAAAAAAAAATGTCTATTTCGAATTCCATATCGACATATTATTTTGAAAGTGAAAAAAACACTGTAAGCCTCTACTTAAAGAATATTACTTTTAATAATGTTCATCAAAATCCATTACTAGAACATGGATGTTTATATATACTATTTCATACCAACGTTCATGTCGTCATATATCATGATCAGTTTTATTGATCCCCGTAATTGGTGATTTTTTTGGGTTGTAATCATTGACTTTTATTTTTGGATTAAAGACATCAGCAAGGATCCAAGAAATCATTTTTAAGCAATGAATACTATTTGTTACATTTGTATTGAGACAGTTAAATTTGTTTTCGTGGTACTCTTCTTCCACAAACTTATAAATGAAATGATAATCAGTCAAAATTGCTCTTTCAGAAAAGTTAGATTTTGTAATTATTTAGTCAGGAAATACCATAATATGCATGATTTTACGATATATAATATGAATAAATCTAAATTGTAGAACGTGAAAAGGCTGATGATGATATCGCATTACTAGAGAGTGGAAATTCGGAAAGAATATTATTCATCTAAATATACTCAAAGCATTTATTGCACTGAAACTATAAATATATACCTTCGTCACTCCAATGATCCCAATGTTTCCACCGTATGTCGTAGTTGCATGGCCCACACCGAAACTTCCCGCTAAAAAGCTGAAGAAACCCTCTGTGGCAAGACCTCTGGTAATAGCATGGAAAGGTGGAGGTGGCGCATTGACTACTTTGGCGCATGCATAATAATCCGCAATCGAGTCCAAAATTGAAATTAATGTCGGTATCAAATATGTGATGAATATACCAACGCTGATTGTAGGGGAGCCAAACTGTCCTGATATATATATAAAAAAATAGTTGGTTACCATAGAGGCATGGAGTAAATATCTTTTTATCTAGACAAATATATAAAATTAGCGATGTGGGTATTGAAAGACAATGGATATATATACTTTGCCATTGTTATAAGAAGTTAGAGGTGATGCAACAAATGCTTCGCCGCAATATCATCTTTAAATGAAATGCCATAATATGCAAGTTAATTACTATCAGATATATTAATTATATGAATTCGATATACCGCCACTGATTAGACCGAAAGGCATGTTGATACTTTACCTGGATAAGGGAGGTAGAACCACGGAGAAGTCACTATATCACTACCGGCAGAATCAATCCTTGCACGGAAATCTAGACTATTTACATCATTACTGAAGACATTCGTTAGTGTTAAAATTGTGGATATAAACAAACCAGCGACGATACCAAGTAGTACCTAGTTAACAAAAATAATTCTGACAAGTAAACATTTGTGTATATTAGTCAACTCTTTCATAAAGAAAAAAGTCACATGATTCCAGTTCTTAACACATGTAGTTTCTTGATTAAATAATCTATTATACACAAAGAAAACATAACTGACTCAGATCTTAAATTTCTTATGGCGTTTATACATCCACAGTTAAAGTGATTATAAGCACAGGAAACTGTAAATTTATATTTTTGATAGCATTAACATTTGTGATGATGTTGATACTATCACGTCATTTGATTAACATTTATGATTAGCAATATTGTCTGTAACATTTCAGCAGTCTCCTTTCTATTTCATTAATTGTCACTAATTTTGTCCAATCAGGTTACTCAATTAAATGGAAAATTTAATATATTTCAGATATATGAAAAGTGATTAACGAATACTTGTGTAAACGTACGGAAAGAACCTTGTGTATAGGATAACGCAATAATATAAAGCCACCATTCTTTCTCCAAATTGGTATAGGCATAGTCTTTTCGCCTAGGTACATTGAAAACACTAAAGTGGACAGCACTGTTCTGTAAATAGAGTTAATATGGTAGAAAATCAAAAGTTGGAATTCAAGTTGTATATCTTCATGCCAATAATTTCGAAAATTGAAATGTTATGTTTCAATACTTCATGGTGTTCTAACATTTTGAATCTTGGTTTTTATGTTATCCGTCTAGTTACACAAAACATGACAGTGCATGGCGGCATTCTACTATATTACATTTGTGTATCAACAACGATGAATTAAGATCAGCACTACGGAAAAATTCTATAAAATAAAACTGACGAATTCCAGATGTTATATATACTTATTAAATCATGGGTTTAATGTCATTTATGAATGTTCCACATTTATTTTATTTCTTTGTTATGTTGACTAAGTTTATAGATGGAATTATATCATGGTTGTGGTTATGTTATGTATGAACGGATGCTAACCGTTTGGAAGGAGGTGATAGGTCTAGGGATGCAGTAATTTGATGCTATTTTTAGCATGCCATATAAGTAAAGGGCACTGACCACCACTGGTCAGAGACCTTTCGGACATTATGGAGGAACAAGGTCAGTAGCATCTTTCATTTAAATGATTTGCTGTCAAAGTTTATTGACATTGCGACCATGTCATTATATACATGAACTGGTATATGTCTAGTACGCCGTCGATAGAAAAGTTGCATAATACCAACTTTTGTAACAGATAGACCGCTGAAAAGCCACTCGACAATCGACATTAAGTCGTTAACTACGGAGACCTTGACATCGTTAAAACGCACACAGTCTAAATCGTTACCTCCGATTTGTAGCAAAACCAAATCCGGCCGTATGAGTCGTAACTGATAAGATATTGTGCGTTTGCCTCCACTTTTGCCAATACACTGCACATCAATATCCTTTGGATTGTTATCAAATCCTAGGTTTGACAATGAACCCTCGAGCGCGCGGTCAAGGCGTTTTACAAAACTATGTCCCACTATTGCAACATATGTCATATTGGAGGAACAAATTACATCACTAAGCCAAGATGCAAATAATCATAATCAAAGAAAAGGCATGGCAAGCTAGTTAGACTTGTAAATAAACAACAAAGGCTCAATATGAATTGAAATTGGCCGTTTTTATTAACGACGTATATATATACATAAACGTACATATGTAAACTCTCATGAATGTACATCATATACCAAATGTTCCTGTTAACAATGTTATGAAAAATTATTTAACAAGTCTAAGATGGGGATCAAAAAACGCCACAGAGATAACTTTCCCTAGGTGGTATATGATGTACATTCATGAGAGTTTACATATGTACATTTATGTATATATATACGTCGTTAATAAAAACGGCCAATTTCAATTCATATTGAGCCTTTGTTGTTTATTTACAAGTCTAACTAGCTTGCCATGTAGCTGTTCATAGTGGAATCATTTATAAATAGATTTACAATAACTCGATAAATGCATATACTTCCAAGTACACTCACACGGCCGCAACTGTCCAGGATGGTTCGCAGAATTTCACCAGTAAGGATGCCTGAGGGATGGTGACCAGTATCAATGTGGGGACGATGGTAAGTGGACCGATATATCGTAATAGAATACCGACAACTCCTGTCATTCCAACAAACATGTGGACCGCCCCAGCAAGCATTAGACTCCCTTCTAACTGTGAGGTATCAGATATAAATTATCAATCTCAAGTCTATAGGATGATAACATTCCAGGATCTGAGACTACAGACACACTTAACAATAAGAGAAAATTACCATAACTCGTAGTTTTGCGTTGCAGCAATTAATTATCGAGCTTCAGAGCGAATATCTCTTCCCAATAGTAAATAAAAACATTTTTTTTTATGATATTACAATTAATTCAGATAAAAATTGGCTTAGATATGAATCAACAAATATATATGAAAAATACCTACTACTTTCAGTTTTGGAAATACGTGTATCTGTTCGAAAAGACTTGAAAAATTCGAATGATCCGTGTTGTTAATCAGAGTTGACTCTTCTGTAAAGATAGATACAATGTACATATATCAAAATGGTGTCGTGTTGTGAAGTACTATTTCCATGATATTTAAGATAAATAAAGTAGTAAGGTAGAATGTCTCCTTAAGTATTTAGACAGAGTGAACCCCTTACGTATCAAGGTAGAGTGTCCCCACTAAGTCTGAAGGCGGAATGAACCCTTCAATACCAAGGAAAAGTGCCCCTTACGTATTAAGGTAAGTGTTCGCCCCCCTCCTAAGTCTGAAGGCAGAGTGAACCCCTTCAATATTAAGGAAAAGCTTCCCTTAAGTGTTAAGATAGAGTATCCCCCTTCAGTAGTAAGATATATTGCCCCCCTTAAGTATGAAGGCAGTGTCCCCTTCAGTAGTAAGATACATTGCCCCCTTAAGTATGAAGGCAGAGTGTCCCCCTTAAGTATGACGGCAGAGTGTCCCCCTTCAGTAGTAAGATACATTGCCCCCTTAAGTATGAAGGAAGAGTGTCCCCCTTCAGTAGTAAGATACATTGCCCCCCTTAAGTATGAAGGCAGAGTGTCCCCATTAAGTATGAAGGCAGAGTGTCTCCCTTCAGTAGAAAGATACATTGCCCCCCTTAAGTATGAAGGCAGAGTGTCCCCCTTAAGTATGAAGGTAGAGTGTCCCCCTTAAGTAGTAAGATACATTGTCCTCCTTAAATATTAAAGTAGTGTATCTCCCTTAAGTATTAAGGTAAGTGTCCTTCTTAAGTCTTTATGCGGAGTGAACCCCTTAAGTATTAAGGTAAGTGCCCTTCTTAAGTCTTTATGCGGAGTGAACCCCTTAAGTATTAAGGTAAGTATCCCTCTTAAGTCTAAAGGCGGAGTGAACTCCTTAGGTATCAAGAAGGAAAAGTGCCCACCCCTATGTATAAAGGTAGAGTGTCCCCTTCACGTATCAATGTAGAGTGTCCCCTTTAGGTATCAAATTAGAGTGTCTCCGTAATTATGTGTTAATCTTTACATAAAGGAAACGCCTTTTTTTTATTTGTAATAGTCTCATTTTCAACATTGTTGTTATATATGTTTGACTTATGTACATGTTGTCCTGGTTTATTCGATAGAGTGTCGGTTTTACCCATTATCTTACGATGTATTAATCATCTTAATTTTGATACGTGGTTGCTGTTGGTTTGTATGATAATTTTTGGGGTTGTTATCCCGTAAGAGGTTAGCCTCTTACATAACTCACGGTCACTCCATGCTACACCACTGTTAGGGGTATTTACTGTTTTCCCATCTGTATCACCAACGGTCATCATTAAATAATAACTTATGGTTTTCTAAATATTTACGTGTATCCTTATGCAAGTAATGAGGTATATATATATATATATATATTTGAAAAGAATGAACTCAACACGGGAAATGTATTCCGCTAACGTTTTCAGACCTAACGGCCATTTTCAGGCGATACATTTATTATAACGTCTTGCTAACGACATTGTGACGTCATACATAATACATAAGAGAAGGGGAGATAACGTTATCGTTCGCAGTATATCGACATTACATTTATGTGCGTTTATTATTAATCAAATATGTGTGAAAGATTTTTCAAAACATTAATTAATATTGAGAGCTGGTTTAAATATTTTGACAAACTTTTCCTCTTTACACAGTCTTTTTGTCGCATCCAAATCAACCACTTTGTAAAAGGAAAAAATTAAAAAGTTCCTTTCCCACATATATCCAGGTGTTCACTAAGTGATATTTTACGTGTCCCACGTGTGCGTATTTGCTGCTTGTGGACCTGAACTCTCTCACTATGTGCACCTGGCAGGTTGGACAGACTATCACATATATTAAATTCTTACTTTTTTGCAGTTCAGAGTATAGTTTGTTTTTTTTTGTTGTTCCATTCTTTAGAGTCAGATGATCGCCGACATGTATGTACTCGCATGTTCCACATCTAGAGTCTCCACATTTGGTTATAGTGTTTCAGAATAATCGAATTTGGCCCTAGTTAGAATTCTTTTGAGACTGGTTGGTTGCCGTTTACTTTGTAGAATTTCTGATGCTTGTACCAAATTCCGCATTTTTTCACTTTTATGTTGTATGGATAGCGTCCTTTGCTGCATGGATTATTTTGTTGTGGCAACGATTGTGTGTTATAACAAATGGTATGTTGTTGCTGTTTTCCGATGTTACTTTTGTTTTCCTTAAATCTTCTTTTGGGATAGTCTTTGCTCGATTTACGCTGTTGGTTATTAACTTGTCCGGGTAGTGCTGTTTAGCCAAAAACTATTGTAATTCACTGAGTCTCTGTATGCGTCTCTCATCACTTACAATTGCAGATATTCGTCTAGCGAGGCAGAATGGTATATTTCTTTTAGTATGTGTCGGATGACATGAGTGAAAATCCAGATACCGTGTGTGCCTGTGGATTTGCAAAAGATATCGGTTATGATACGTTTTCCCGTTTTCCTTACTAGTACATCTAGAAACGCGAGTTCCGTATCACTTTATTCCATTGTGTCCATTGTGAATTAAATAGACATATTCAAACTGTTTAGAGTGTCATAGAATACTGATAGTTCCTCTCTTGACTTTGTCCATATCATGAAGCAGTCGTCGAGATATTGTTTCCAGCACTTGCGTACATATTCGACAAATTATGCGCTGTAACTAGATCCCAATTTATCGCACAGTTTTTGCTCAAGGTATCCCATTAGAAGGTCAACATGTGTTGATTTCATTCTTTTCAAATATACACAAAGCATTTTTAAGTCACACACACACACACACACACACACACACACACACACACATATATATATATATATAACAAGGGTTCATAAAAGGATCCGCTTGCCCAATTAAAAGATCGTGAGAATTTTGGTTCACGAGTGTGTTTGTAAGAGCCGGATTTTACCATATATTGGAGAGAGTGAGGGTGCTGCTGATCTTGGCAATTGTCACGTTCCACACCAAAGTCAGGTGCAGCGGGGGGATTTTACGCTACAGTTGATTGATTTAGGTAATTTAGGACTAAGCAGATATTTAATTATTCACAAATTCGATACACTAATTTCGTATTTGAGTGTTCTTATTTCACCAACTGTCTGTCCTGTATATTACGATATGTTTAGATATATGTATCTTCATTTCAATTCAAACAAAAGTATCTACAAGCTTACCAATAGGACATTGCCATTCTGGTATTGCAGAGAGAGCCAGCAGCGGTAGGATGTAATATGCGATCGGTCCCTGATAGACAGGTAATCTAAAATCGAATTAACTATTTTAAACAAATAATTCATCAAATGTTTGAACATTTCATTGGAAACACCTTATCATAAATCATTTTGATGATCAAAAAATGATACATAAAATTCAGTTTAAACAATCAGATAGTGTTATCTATCCATCCCATTTAATCCATTCATCAATCCCTGTATCTGATATGGTTTCTACCTTGTGACAGATTTTCCTGACATTGATTAAATAATTAACTTTCATAAAGCTTACCTCACACCAAAAGTATTCTGACAGAATGTACACAACCCAGTCAGTAGGATCGTTGACGAAAACATTTGTGTCTTAATATTCTCAATGTTTGAAGCACATACAACCTCGGCTAGAAGTGAAACAACGAAGAGGCATTTTGGAATAGACGAAATAGTTTGCTGAAATAAAAGCAAATTTTCATAAAAGTTTCGTACATGCTAGTTTGGTGTCAATAAAAGCTGTCAGACTTCCATGTTGGGGTTAACGTATATATTTTGTGTTATCAACATACTAATAAGACGAGATTGTTTGTGTGAATCTTAAAGTGTGGTTTTAATATCAGTCTGAAGGAACGCTGGCTTTGGCTTTTGTTTTCATTTGAGATTTCAAGCTGCATCTTTTTAAAAGATGGATCGAATGGATTTAACCCACTCCGAAAATGAATCCAACGCAGCATATTCTTGTTTCTACCATTCTCTGGCATAACACAATCATGAGAGTTACAGTATGAAAA